CTGTACGGGAAAACTTCAAACATTTATTGAGCAGAAGCGAAGCACTTTGTGTGAGTGGTAAAGAAGAGACACAAGTGGAAAACTGAGTTTTCCTAATACAACCTTTTATGGTCCTCTGTACCCATTTCTTTGGATTAAGTACTCTGGAGAGACAAAATGTGACCAGGCATTACCAGATTCCACTCTAAAATGGCTGTATGAATCTGCACTATATCAGCAGGATAAAAGGATTCCTCTATCTTTGAATGCTTACCATTATCCAACTAATGTCAAGTATAAAGAAGCATTTTTTTTTATTTGTATAAACTACATCTCAATAATGAGTTAAGTATCTTAATACACTTGTTAGCCTTTTGATTTTCTTTTAAAAATTGCCTTTTCATATTTCATCTTAAAAAAAATTAGGATTCCTGGCTGTGGTAGGGAACCTCTAAGATAAACTACAATGATCCTTGCCTCCTGGCATTCACATTTTTGTGTATTTTCTCTCCCATACTGGCCAGGACTGACCTGTATAACCAACAGGATACTGAGAAAATTAAAGTTTGTAAATTCTGAGATGAGGTCATAAGATACCTTGGGTTCTATGTTACCCTCTTAGATGATTTCTGTTGGAGAAACCCAGTGTCATGTCCGTCTGGAGGACACTCAAATTGATCAAGAGTGAGAAACAGCCAGCATCAACTTGCTGTCTGGAAAGTGCACAGAACTGGATCCTCCAGCTCCAAACCTTCCAGTATCAAAAACTGTGGCCATTCCTGGCCAATTTGGGTGAGTGGTTAGTATTGGCCTGTAAACCAAAGGGTCTCAGGTTTGATTCCTGGTCAAGGGCACATACCTGGGTTGTAGGTCCAATCCCAAGCCCAAGTTGGGATATATGCAGAAGCCAATCAGTTGATGTGTCTCTCAAATCAATGTTTCTCTCTCTCCCTCCCTCCCTTCTACTTGCTCTGAAGAGCAATGGGGGGAAAATATCCTTTGAGGATTTTTTTTTAAAAAAGATACATGGCAAACATGCTGATTGCAACATCATGAGACCCTGATTGAGAAACATGGCTAACACTCCCAAATTCCTAACCTATAGAAGCCGAGAGAAGGAATGCTTTTCAGCATTTTAAGCCACTACATGTTCAGGTAGTTTGTTATACAGCAAGATTAATAACCTGATGTTGTTTATTTATAGGACCTCATAAAAAAAAAATGAATCCTCCAGAGTTACATAGGTCAATTAAATTTGACTATATGGTGTTTTTAAAATAAGTTCTTATTTTTTATTATAATAAAAGTCTTTTTCTGCATTATGGTCCATGCTAGCTGTGGAAGAATATACTTAAGAAGCCCCCCTACATCCTAAATGACAAGATATTTTCCTACATTTTCTTTCAGAAAATTTATAATTCTACTTTCACAAGTTTTTGGCTTAGTCTATATGCTCATCAGGGCATTTACCTCAATGCAGGTATATGTAACTTTTCACTGCAATAATATGCTCCTTTAAATATTTGGAAGTAGAAAAAGTAAAACTTGTAAATGCAGACAGTGTCCATTCTGGAGCTTCACAAAATTCAATACCTATGAATCACTTTACAAGAGCTCATGTATGTAACAGAATTCCTTGTAAAAGTCTGATATTTACCTAATAATTTTAGGAGAATCTAGGCTTAAGTTGCTTGGTTCTCTCTCCTTTCTGGAAATAAAACCCAAATCCTACAAAAGAAACTATGTGCTCTTTAGATAAGTGAGTTTTGCAGAGTACTTTGGGAGCTCTCAAATCATTGACTTATTTGAATTATTTAAAATATATACCAACTAGTTTTAAACTGTTAAAAAAAAAAAACACAAACACGTAAAAACACCAACATTATCATATGGCAAATACTTAGTACACTGTATATCATCACATCATTATGTACTTCCAGGTTAAATCATTTTTGGGCAAAAGTCAGAATGAACATTCTCCACCATTTGGGTTAAAAAGTTAAGTTGGTATTTTTAAAAATATAGACTTAAAAATTGGCATTTTAAAAAACAGACTTCTGCCTTGGGATGTAAAGAGCTGGGAAAATGTTGCTTCCACCTGTGCAGCAAAAAAAGAGCAAGTTGAGCTTCAAATTAAGATTCTGAACCCATAGGAGAACTGAGGTTGCAAAGGAAACAACTGGTACAAAATCATCTCTGCAGGTAAGAGAGGTGACACAACCTCCCTAAGGCACTGCAGCTGGAACAGCTGGCAGAGGTGCGGGCAGGTTGCAGAATGGCAGAATAGTGTGAACCCCTTGAGGCTGAAAATAGTGAGGAGTCTTCCTCCAAGAACTCTACCAGCACTCACAAAAGAGTCCTAAGAGTCCCCTATCCCAGGACTGTCCATTATGGTACAGTCCTGGGATAGGGGACAGCAGCTAAGTATGAGGGGCAGAAACTTCACCAGAATCTTTCCCCTCTATGTCCAATACAGAACAAAATTCCTTCAAAACTAACACAAATTACTAAAGAAGAAATAGACCTAAATATAATAATTATTTAAAATTTTCCAAAAACAATCTCAAGACAGAGATGGTTTCACTAGCAAATTCTAATTCTATGCAATTATCTTCAACAAAAGGGAAACACTTCCCAAGTCATATTATAAGGCTAACATTACCATAAAACCAACATCTGACATAGACATTAGAAGAAATTTACTGCCAATATGCCTCATGAACATAGATGGACCTGGGGGAATGTGTTGGATGAAGTCAGAGAAAGACAATATACTTTGCTTATATGTGGAATATAAAGAAAAAAAAAATGAACAAATTTATAGATACAGAGAACAAACTGATGATTGCTACGTGGAAAAGTCTGGGGGGTTAGGTTTAAAAGGTAACAAGATTAATAAGTACAAATCGGCAGTTACAAAATAGTCACAGGATGTAAAGTGCATCTTAGGGGAATATAGTCAATATCATCATCATAACTAAATTATGTCAGGTGGGCACAAGACCTCTCGGGATCACTTTGTTATATAAATGTCCAACCACTATGCTGTACACCTGAAATATTGAATGTTAACTGTAACTGAAAAATTAAAGATTTAAGGGTATCTGTAATTTTGGTAAATTAGACTTAACTCAAAGAATAATATTGACAATATCTAAAATTGAACATCATCTAAAAGTATTCAAAAATAGAATTATTCATAAAATCAATATGTAAGATTCATTTAATAAAGGAGAGTAGTTTGCTGACTATATGAGCAATAGATCTTAAGTATATTAAATGATGGTGCTCATATTTGTATTATATAACATCAAACACTACTTTAAACTCTCCCACGTTATTATTTTCCTTATGGAGATTTCCTTACAATATAAGATTTGGGCTACAATTAGAAAAATTAATGGTAGAGTATACTTGAATGCTGAAAAAAATGAAAAAACAAAAAACCTGTAAGGTTCCTTAGAGGCAGGGTTAGCCACTCATTTGCAGGAAAAAACAGGGATCAGGGATGAGAGACAATGTGGGAGTATAAAGAGAATGAAGTAGGAATTATCAAAGAGCCTAGTTTTGTTGTTTTTTAAGTTGTGCTGTATTTTTATTATTGAGTTACAACAGTTCTTTATATATATGGGTTTTTGGATATAAGTTTCTTGTCCTAGGCTTTGCAAATGTTTCTCCCATTCTGTGGGTGGTTGCTTCAGTTTCTTGATGGTATTCTTTGAAGCACAAGTTTGAAATATTAAGTCCAATTTGTCTTATTTCTCTTGTTACACATCATTTTGTTGTTGTATCTAAGAAATTACTGCCTAATCCAAGGTCAAAGATTTACTCCTATGTTTTCTTCTAATAGTTTTATAGTTTCAGCTCTTATATTTAGGTTGATGATCCATTTTAATTTTTTTTTAATATAAGGAGTCCAACTTCATCCTTTTGTATGAGTATATCCAGTTATCACAGAACCACCACCATGAATGGAGGCTGGAATAACCCACATTCATACTCTCCTGGAGAGTATGCCAGCTTCTCTTTAATTGAATCAATCCGTTCTCTGGATTTTGCTGACAGATGTCCATGTCTCAGCTGCAGCATTTTCCAGAGAGCAACAGTGTCCCAGCCATTACTTTCACATAGTTGGCTCATCAAAACTGAATAGGGGGTCCTGCTACATCAACACTGGCTCAATATGTGGTTAGCACATCTTTGGTTCTTAAGATTGAGAAGACTTTTTCTTTAGTAATCAAATACTTTGTCCACTGGTTGCTCATCTCATGTATGGCCAAGGCACTCGTCCTGGCCCCACTTCTCACCTCAGGACCCAGAACTGCAGTTTTTAGGATCTGGATTTTACTCCTTGGCTCTCAATATGTCTCAGTGTAGAACACACTTAAGCCTATCTGAACTCCTATACCCAGATCGATAAACTGATGTGATAAGACAAAGGAATCCCTTTAAATTCTACTGTTCTACCAGGAAATCACAATAGGAGGAATATTCTTAAATCCTTAATAAATAATAATTTTGATTGTATGAACTTAATAAAAATAATCAGGAAATTAGATAATAGCACTTAGCATATTTCCTGGTATATTAATATGTGATTCATAAATATTATTAACAGATAGGAGTCTTGGGGAGAAGGTAGGAGGAAGAATAAAGAGGAAGAGAAAATAGGGAAGTCTAGCATGCAGTATTTTCAAGGCTTTTATCACATTTAAATACCTCCCTCATAAATGTGAATCAAAAATATTTTTATCATTCTGTATATTTGACTTAAATATTTGTTATAAGGAAAATACTATATCACCTTTTGATAAAAAGCAAGGAAAAACCATGTCTTTACACTCAATTTTATTAAACAAATAAGGCTGGTTGTGGAACTTTTTTTTATTTAATGCATAAACATATAAGTCCCTTTATTAGAGAAATTGTACATATTGGTGAAGAGGGTCAATGGTCACATCTATGGGTTAATTCTTTAAAAATCAGAACCAATGATTAGGATAAACTGTAAACTCTCTTCGTTACATTGTGAAGTGTCTTGTGTAGTCATATTCTATTGTTGGAATGACAGCTTGTACAAATTTCAAGAAAATTAGAAGATACCTAAGGTCTTTGGCTAAGGAAAATAGATTGGTAAATAGCTCAATGACTTAAGCTAACATTGTAATTATCTATTTTATTAAGCAATAATTTCTCAGAAAAAAAATACCTAAGATAAGATCTTAAATCAAGTATATTTAAAAAATTCACTCATGCAAGCTGTGTCTAGTCCATCTGAGGCTCTCTGTAACTTTCCATTCCCTTTTAATATTTGAATGTGAAAATTCTTGTTGAGTTAAGAGTTCATACAAGTCCAATTATTTTGGTATAAAAATAAAGACAAGGTTGTCCATGTTAAAATGACTCTTACTGTCTACAAACTAGAATGTTCAAAAATGAGATGGGTTAAAGAATATAAAAGCACTGAAGCAAAAGAGAAAAAAAAAAAAATTAGGTGAAAACCCTCCATCAGAACCAATTCTAGGTTAGTGCATCTGTATCTGGCACAGAATCTGTTATTTTGGACTATATTTAATAAAACCCTGAATTTTTTTCTACATTTCATTGTACTTGAAAACATTAGGAGCTCAGTTTTTACTGGGGGAACTGATGACTCAACTTTAAATTATATATAGTCTTCCAAGTTGCTATCTAGCCACAGAGAAGAATGCTCAAATTATGCATAATAGAATTTCAGGAATAAATTTAGTTTGGACCAAAAGTCCTTGACTTGTTTCAATATCAAACTGGTTCATGTACCTCTGAGAGACGCACTTTATTTGAAATGCTTAGGTTACCTGTAATATCAAGAGTGTAACACCTCTTAATCTATATCTAACACATAGGGATATGAAACACCATGTGTAATATCAATCTAGCACAAAACTAATTCAAGCTATTTGCATCTAAACCACTGACTATGGCTGCTTTTGATGAATCTATGTTACGGGTACACACATTTCAGGATTCAGAAGTTTATTTAATTTATTCATCTTGATAACCCCAGAGAACAAAGTTAACCTCAGAAGACAATTATAGCAAGAAGGGTATACCCTTCTTGTAAAAAATGAAAGAAAAAAAAATGGGGGAAAATGAAAATACTATGATATATTTTAAGAATATCTGAAATATGCTTCAATTGCTTTATTTTTTAACCTATTTAAGTTGAATTCTTTGCTTCAGAGAAACCTCAGACTGCCACAAATGAACTTTACTTTTACCTGAGAGGAAAACAAATTTTATAACATGTTAAGTTGGATATATACTTAGGGAAAAAGTAATCATGTATTATCCTCTAAATTATTAGACTACTCATCTTTCATCAATAAATTAAGTCCATTGAGTTTCTTTTTCATCAAGAGCAATGGTTTTATATTCATATAGCTTAGCCATTGCCTCTTCAATAAACAAGAGCATTTGGAAAACTTGTTTCAGTCTCTGTAACAAGGCAGACCTAACTGGTACACACAGGGACATGTGCTGTTCAATTGAACAAGGCAGAATAATCACAATATAACACATTCTAAATAAATTAAATATTCCCATTAAGACTTCCAGATATGACAGGCTAAAACAAGTTATAGGTACTGTGCCATTAAGATTAAACTAAATCAATCCCTGCCTCCCTGGCAAAAAATCCTAGGAGTCAATTTGCCACTAGTCATATAAACAGGTAAGGATACATATGAACACCAAGTTCTCCCCCTCCTTCTGCAACAGTCTCAATGATTTTCTTCATCACCTCAGCATGCCTAAAAGCAAAAAAACAAATCTTATGAATATAAATCAATTAGACCAAAAACAGGAGTTTTTGATGGTAAAGAAATCTACCTTATTGTCACTGAATCAGTTTTAATATATAATAGTTACATTATAAGACATTCTCCCTATTCCCCAACATGCCAGATGGTTGAGTCATGAAGACAGATATTGGAGAAGGGGCAATTTTAAAAAGCTCTGGTAATCACAGATGAACACAATGGTACCAGTCAGTTTTCCTATAATGGGGGAGGAAGGCTGGGAGGGTTGGGAGGGGGGGAATACAGAGCAGTTAGAAAACCGGAGAAAGGGAAATCATGCCAAGGCAGAATTGTGGAGAAAGGGCTTTCTGCTGAGAAAGAAAAAGAATTAAACCATGTATGGTAACAGTAAAAAAAAAAAAAAAAAAAAAATAGGGGGGAGGGACACTTATAATGCTGTAATTTTGGCTGTTTAAATATTTAGCTGAAAATAAGCCAAAACTGAATTAAAGAAAAGCTAACTCGTCAGTAAAAAAGCTTTGATATTTTTTTCTCATTTGTGCTGTAAAATTTATCTGATTCTATTATGAAGTATTTTTTGTTTTTATACAGAGAACTAGAAATCCAATGCATGAAATTCATGCAAGAGTAGGCCTTTGCAGCCAATGCAGCTGCCTGGATCTGTTCCTTGCAGCCACAACAGCTGCCTCCATCCCTAGGCTGCAGACCCAGCTTCCTCCGGAAGGACATCCAGTTTAATTAGCATATTATGCTTTCATTTTCATAGTTATTTATCTGAAGTTTTTGTCCTATCAACAAATCCTTTCATAGCCAATTGGTGTTTCTTCTGTGCTATACAAAAGAAAATTGTCTGGGCACATAAACTGAGAAAAGGACAATGAACAAAATTATTGAATAACCCTTTATATTACCCTGGCTTAAAGATATAATGCTATAATTTTTATGAATACAACCTTCATAACAAAGGCACTTAACTTAGATGAGAGATTAAAATGTATTAACTCTGAGGCTATGAAGGCATAATCTGAGATGAGCCATGGCAGGGCCAAAATTGTCCTTGTAGTCTCATTTTACAGGCCCCCAGATTTTCTGCCATATTTACATGTTATGCCATTATATAGTAGTTATTTATTAAAATTGTATAAAATTAATTCAGTTAAATTACTTATCTCTTTTACCAATTGAGTAAAATTTACACCTCAGAGTGTAAATTTAATAAGTACCATCCTAAAATCTCAGTTAAAAAAGAATCAATCAAAGATAAAAACCTTTTAGATTAAGTAATTAAAAACTAAAACTAATGATGCATCAATTACCTTTCACAGCAATATTAATACTTTTTGACATAAACTGGAAAAATGAATCAAACTTTCTATGGGATAAAGTCTAAGAATAAAGAGGTTGTAAAAAATGAGAAGAAACTATTAAAGAATTTTTGAAAACTAGAACATTACATTGAATAAGTCAATGGGATATCAGTTTTCATCTGAAAATTGTTATTAGAATTTCTCAATAATTTTGTGAAAGTTACCCATTAGAAACAACTAACAAAGAAATTGGCATATAACACCTCTTTTTTTTATAAGGAAATTTCTGAACAAATCATGTATAGATTCCTGTGAAAACACAATGATATAAAGAAAATCCCAAATTATAAATGTTCTTGATTTGGTAGGACTGAAAATTTCTTGACTAAAGAGTAAAGGAGAATAGAAAGTCCACATATACATCTCCCTTCACTAACCAATAAAAGGAGATAAATAGGTCACCTAGAAAAAGCAAGGTTAATTTTATATTCCATATTCACAGAAAGATACAGCATGACAGAGCAAACCATGCCTAATAGTATTTTTTAATATAAAAAGGATCATCCAAACTATTCGTGGAGATAAAAATAGGAATAAAATCACCAAGATCAATACCTAAACACATACAAAGAATAAAAATATATTCTTAACTGAATTTAAAATAAATTTAGGAAGTTTTTTGTTGCCTTTTTCTTATGTATTTAAGCACAAAAACATAAGATAAATTTATGAGATAAAATTTTATCTGCATATTCGGTATTTTTTTTTTGTTAGGGCACTACATTTATAAACTCCCCAAGTAATAAATCCATGAAGTATACACACACACACACACACACACACACACACACACACACACACACACACACCTGCATGGGTGAACTGAACACATAGGAGGTGGTGGGAGATGAGGATGATTTTCAATGGTCACTGTTTTCTTCACATGATCTTGACTGATGTCTTCATACATGTGTTCAACTGTTAAAGGCTGCCGTTGCTGAAACCATAAAAACGTTTTAAAATTATCATTTAAAAACTTTTAGGCCTAAAATTCAATATTTATAATATATTAATCTCCACCTCCCATAACACTTACAATTCAGAATTCTAGACTATTTAGAATTCCCAGATTATTTGGGGGAAATTTTATACTAAGAAAGTCTGACTGCCCATCAGACTATATGACATCAACCATCAGCTAACATAGTAAAGATCCCACGAAAAGGCAGGTTCATGGTTATCCAAACATTTTATAATTATAACTCAGCTTTTAGGCCTATTTTGTTGTATTCTCTTTTAATATATTTTATTGAATTTTTTACAGAGAGGAAGGGAGAGGGATAGAAACTTAGAGACATTGATGAGAAACATAAATCAACTGCCTCCTGCACACCCCCCACTGGGGATGTGCCCGCAACCAAGGTACATGCCCTTGACCGGAATCGAAACCGGGACCCTTCAGTTCACAAGCCAATGCTCTATCCACTGAGCCAAACTGGTTTTGGCTTTGTTGTATTTTCTTGTTTCCTATTGATAGTCATTGGAATAACAGGTAAAACAAATTTTATTTTCATTATCCTTTAATTCAATTAAGTGGATGACTTTTAAAAATAAACTTTTCTGTCTTAAGGGAAAAAGACACACATGTGCCTTGGACATTTTTCCCAGTGGTTAGTGCATCGGCCTAAGGACCAAAGGATTTTTGATTTCATTCTTAGTCAAGGGCACATATCTGGGTGCAGGTTTGATCCCTGGTCCCATTTGGGGCACATGCGGGAGGCAACCAGTCGATTTGACTTTCTAACATCAATGTTTCTCTCTCTCACTCTCTCCCCCTCCTCCTTCACTTCCACTCTCTCTCTAAAGATCAGTGGAAAAAATATCCTCCAGTGAAGATTAAAAAACCAAAACCATACACATGTTACATGGTCTATATTAAAAGCACAGTATGCTAGTTAGACCGGACATCTTTCCAGACAAAGCTGGGGCTGCGAGGAAAGCCCAGGTCCTGGGTGCCAGCAGCCAGGAAAGGAAGACCTACTCTTGTACAAATTTCATGCAATGGGCCTCTAGTCATTGTATAAATGCTTAGTTATCCAACAGGGGTAATCCCAAACAAAATTTATTACAACAAACCAAGTTCAATTTCCTTCACAATTAAAAAGAATAAGATCAGGGACCAAGTAATTAATACATAACAGATTATTTATGTTCAATTCTTACTAAGAATGATGTCACACTGAATAAGAATCAAAGTAAGAATCAAGTGCAATATTAACTATAAAATTATAAAACAAGTGATATCTAAAATTTAAAAAGCCACATACAATATATATCAATAGACCTAATGATGAAGAAACTAAATCCAACAATTTAAAATATTTACATTAAAATACATTTTTATTTTTACCTCATCGTAGCCAAACAACCATAGTCGTGGTGTCTGATAATATTTATCATACGTAATATAAAGGTCATATGTTCTGGTTTGCAAAATAGCATCTTCATTCCCAGCATCAGTTTTAGCTTTACAAGCTTCTACTATTTTCCTTGTGTCTAGGGTAGCCTGGCAATAATAGAAAAAAGTTTACAACTATTAAAATCACTATGAATGTGACATTTTAGAAAATCTATTTTTCTCACCTTATGTATTTATTTTTCAAAAGCAGATGTGACTTAAAACTCAAAATGTTATATGCTTTGAAGAACTTATTTGAAATATCAAGGTATTAATGAAAACACTAATCCCTAACTTTATTCATTAAAAATTAACTAAAGAAAACTCAATTTACAAACCTCATCTGTTTCCAACAATCCACTCTCTTCATATTCTGTTGTAAAAAGCAACAAAAGATTAATTGGTTTCAAAATAATTTTGTAAACCAAATTGTATATTACTTCGGAGTATCAATGAAAAATTGGATTTTGCTTTTGTTTCTGACAATAATGAATAAATATATGAGAGATTCTATACATATTTCTACAGCAGCAGCAACTTTACCTAGTAGAAAGCCAGACTGGAGAAAAAGTCAGCATATTAAGGCTTGATCTGTGCTATAGTTATTAATACCAACTGGCATAATAAAACTGTAAAGTCCTTAGGGACTCGATAGCATACACAAGGCTATTTATATAAATGCAAAAAAAAAAAACGTGCTCATTGAAGTCACCAGAGATTTCTATTTTGCTGAATACAATATAGTCCTGGTTTTCATCTAAATTGATTTCCCTCAGCTTCTAAGATACTCTATTTTTAAAAAAATATATTTTATTGATTTTTCACAGAGAGAAAGAAGGATAGAGAGCTAGAAACATTGATGAGAGAGAATCATCGATCAGCTGCCTCTTGCACATCACTCACTGGGGATGTGTCCGCAACCAATGTACATGCCCTTGACCGGAATCGAACCCGGGACCTTTCAGTCCACAAGCCACTGAGCCAAACCCGTTTCGGCAGATACTCTGTTTTTGAGCTTTGCTCTCACTTTTTTATTTTTCCTTCACTATCTCCTATGCTTGTTCCTCATCATCATCTGGACCATTTAAAAAACAATACAAAAGAATGCCAGTAAGGAATACTCAATTTTTGGACCTTTTCTATCTACACTTACTCCTTGATGATTTATTTCACTAATCTCAATGGCTGTAAATGTTGATGACTCCCATATTTATTCCATGACTACAGACCTGATACCTAATTGTTTAACTTATGGCTCAAATGAATGGCTAAGGGACATCACAAATATCACATGTTCAAAAGCTCCCAACTCCTCCTCCAAAGCTATTCAGCCAAGTTTTCCCCATCAGAGTTAATGAAATCACTCCAGATGGACAGGTCAAAAACACTTGACTATTCTGTCTTGCTCATGCCACATTCATTCCAGCAGCAAATCCTTCTGCACTCTCCCGGGCCCTTAAATATGTCCAGAATTCTGTTTCTCATCATTTCCAATCGAATGTTTTGTTTAGATGATCAAAACAGCCTCCTGTTATCCTATCCCCCCTTCAGTCTATTCTCAACATTGCAGTCACATTCTGTTAAAATGTTAAATCTCATTCTAAGTCACTCCTCTACTTTGAAAATCCCCCCACTGGTTTCTTATTTCACTTCTGAGTTAAAGCCAGGGCCCTACATGATCTACCCCCTTTTACCTCTCTGACTCTCCTTCACTTCTCTCTGAACACAGGAGCCTCCTCAGAGTATTTATAAGCCACATATGCTCCTACTTCAGAACCTTTGCACTCCTCCTCAGATATCCAAATAGCTTGTTCACTTACTTCCTACAAGGCTTTACCCAAAAGGCATATTCTCAATGAGATTTTTTTTCATCAACATATTTAAAAATTACAACATTCATCCCACTCTTAAGACACTCTTATTCTCCCCTTTTTTTTTCTCCTTAACACTTATGACCATCTAATACATACAGTAAATGATTTGCTTATGTATTTTTTGTTGTTTATTGCTGTATCTCCAGCACCAAAAAGTAGGATACATAGATAATATATTACTCAATAAAAATTTGCTGAATCATGTTAAAATTCAGAACTCAATGAAGATTTCTTAATCCACATAAATTACTAATATTCCCAAATCAATATTCTAGTGTAATGAAGGCAAATACCTTCCATATCTGCAGCTTCTTCTTCATCTTCCTCTTCCTCCTCCTCACATAATGCTGAACAATCTTGGAGTTTTATACTATCCTTAAAAATTAATTATATTTAAAGTCACTTAAATATGTTCATTAGTTCTAATGCCAAGCACTCACATGCCAGCACAGTGCTAACCAGTGAAAATAAGAGTGATAAGACAGTTCTTATCCTTAAGAAACTCCTCCAGTGAGATGACAAATGCAAAAATCAATCGTTAAGTCTTGTGCTAAGGGCTGTGAAAAATATAAAAAGCATTATAAAAGCACCATGAATCATCTAAGTTCACCATTTAAAAATAGTTGCCAGTTGTTTTTAGTTAACCAATTCATTAGTATTAGAAAATCAATTAAAAGTTATATTAACTTAAACACATAATTTAAAGGACCAAAAGTTAGACATTTATAAATCACAGTACATTTATATGTCAAATTTATTATTATAAATCAAACAATATATTCTAATTTATGAGCATACTGGCTGAATTAAGCAATTACAACTATTACAACACATAAGATTTCAGTTCAATTAGCACTAAAAAAGAATAATGCTAGCCAAAGACAAGCCTATACACTTATCACAAATTAATACTCTAAAATTCTGAAGTAAAAAAGTTGGACATCTAGTTTTTACCTAATTTACAATTTCAAGTAGTGATGATTTTATTTATCACTGGAAACTTAGATCATATACCAGTATGCCATTATTATAACAAAAACGTGAAACATAGAAGAAAGTTTCTGGGTAATTATTTGATGAGCCAACATCTGGCAAACTGATCATTAGGGAAATTTTAATTAATTCACCCCTAATGTCTACCAGGGCAAGACCAAAGGATTTCTCGGCCCTCGGCAGGATGTTCCCCACCCATTATAGTACACCATAAATATGTTAAGTGGCATAGCAAGTACCATATTAACCACGACTGCATTTATTAAAAATTCTTGAAAGAATTCCCATAAACCTATCAAAACAATGTCATCCAAACTACTCTACCATTTATCATTCCTCAAATCTGAAGAATATACACTAACGGCTGGAGTAAACAAGATGATCTCTTTTGACGCAGCTTAGTCATTCAAATTCTCCAAAAAGTACAAATTCAAATGAACTGTACCCTAAGCAAACATAAAAATGAATTTCTAGCAAGCATAAAGTTGTGCACTGAAAAAAATTAAATTTGTTTTAGTCTCTAACACTTTCTGTTAAGCCCCAGTTAAAAATCCCAAATGATGCAAATAACAAGAACATGCAAAGAAGAATATCTTAAACGAGTAACTGGTTGAATGTTTAATAAGGAAAAAAGGAGTTCACTTATTCTGTCTATTCTCTCCGAGACTTGATTTAGCAAAAATACACTCATTAGCCGTAAACTAAGAAAAAAATGATAATAGATTGCTTAAGATAATGTTTAAAATAAAAAATTTAAACCATAGCATTACAATCTACTAATTAGCAAATAAACAAACTACTTCAAAAGTCTCCATTTATAGAACATTTGGTATTTATACTTAAAAATAAAAAGCTATTTCTTTTAAAGTAGCTTAGAAGGCTTTTCAATTAGTAAAAATTAGTTTTTACTAGTTATAATTTCAAAAAATGTTTCTCTTAACCATACAACAGATTAAGGGAAAGAAGAGAAACAATGGGAAACAGTAGTATTTTGATATGTTAATACACAAAAAGGGGGGGGGGGGGTTAGGACATAAAAGAACTTGATAATAATCAGTTTGAAAAAAATATGAGTAATCTTAATATATATGGTCATTAAATTTGGAAACATATCTAATTAACAAGTACCTTGCTTTCCAGTGTAATCTCCTTAACTGCTTCAGTTATTCCTGTAATACCTGTTTAAAATTGTGCATAAAATATTTAAGTTGTAAACATTTTTCTGATTCAAGCAATATAAAAACACTTAAAATTACTTAAACTCTGACAACTTCTCTAAAGTAAGCCAATATTAGCAACACTTTAATGAATTCTAATAGAAACAAATAATCCCAAAGGTACTTCTCAAATTTTTAAAATAAAAGAATATCAACTTGATATTTTACTATAAATTATCCTATTTTACCATCCCTCATTTACTATTCATTTAATTTGCTTATGAATCGCTATCAAAATACATATTCATTCTCAAAAATAAGTAGATTGAGACTATAGGATGCACATTTACATTTTATTGAAACCTGCATTGGAATTTTCTCAACAAGGTATTAGTTATATTACTATGCCATTTGCTTCAGAAATCTAGGACACCCAGAAGTACTAATACTATATCACATTTATGCAGGGCTTTCTGTTTTACTGTTTCCACATCTTATTTAATCCTTACTGTCCTGTGTGCTAATTAGGGTAATAATTTCTCCCTATGAAGAAATAAAGTCTCTAGACAGGTAAAATAACAGCTAGTTAAGTGAGATATTGGAATTCAAATACACACATTTTGACTTTTGGTTCTAAGCTCTAACCACTGCATCTGATTAAACAATTACCTCAGAACCTATTTGTTTCAATGAAGGTGGCATTAAGCATATAATGGAACAATAAGTCAGCTAAATAGTATTTTTAATTCAAAATATGTCAGTGTTCTCACTTAAATAGTTCAAAAAGGATGAAAATAGTAAAGAAAAAAACCTGTGGGTACAGCCCAGAGATACTGCTAAACATTCTGTATTATACAGAAAATGCTGTAACAAAGAACTACCTAGCCTAAAACGCTAACAGTGCTAAAGTTGAGAAACCCTGCTCTACCACTACTTTTGATATGTCTCCTACTCTCCAGGGCTTACAGGGAGAAAACTTATTTTTAGTATTCTAGATTTAAACTCAGAACATGCTTTCTTCAGTAAAACTAAGTCATAAATGGTAGTTAGCTATAGCAGCACATAATATGCATTCACATAGTTAATATAAATATAGTGATAAAGTTTTTAGGACTTGGAATAAAAAAAAATCATATTCAGAATTCCAAACAGCTTATGCAAGCAAACACTTATGAATGTCTTAAATTTAGTCAAATCCTTTAACAAAATTTGTTGAATAATTTCTGTATCAGATACTGGGTAGATATTGAGGATTCAACAATGAATCTATACCTTCATGTTCTTTACAAACCTCTTTGCAGCCATTATAAAAATAATTATTAAATATTTAAATAAATATTTAAGTATAAAATAAATATGAGTATGGGTTCCTGTCCTAAAACTCACCATCCATCAATGGAATGACATGCAAATAAGGGATTCAAAGTAAAGTAGTATGCATACTCAGTCTTTCTTTTTATTTATTTATTAATTATAGAGAGGAAAGGAAAGGGAAGGAAGGGGAGGGAGAGGAGAAGAGATAAACACCATCTACTGCTCCATCTATGCTTTCATTGGTTGATTCTTCTACGTGCCCTGACCCAGGATCAAACGTGCAACCTTGGTGTATAAGTATGATACTCTAACCAAATAAACTATCTGGCCAGGACCGCATACTCGGTATTTTTAATTGGCTTTCTTCCTTTCTTTAGAAATAAAGACAATGATATGGGTATTTTCAAATGAAGTGGCAGTACTATAGAAATATGGTATACTTCAAGAGGAATTTTTTCTAATTTGTCCTCCCTGTTTCTTTTCTGGTAAAAATCTACTGTACCTTTTATGTGCTCTTCTTTATTTTAAATCAAAACTGTTATAAAAGATTATAAAATAGTTTTTAAAAATTTAAATCATATGATTTTTCATTCTATTTGCCTCTTACCTGTGTTATGATAAGTATCTACCCATCCTCCATCACCATCATCCTCTTCAATGATAGCTTCCAATTCATCTGAATATTCCATTTGCTTGCACCGCTTGTAACATGGCACTATAAAAAATGGCAAATACAATTAGAAGCACATACTCTGCTTCCTATAAATCCATTTTTAAAAATATAAAGTTTAAACCATAAAATATATTTTTCCACTAAAATATTAAGAGAATATTACAGTTCTCCTTATGGAAATGATTTAAGAGTTATAGTCTCCCTACAGACACATAATTTGACCGCATTTATCTCTCCCTAAGTAGCTTTTGTTGTTGTTGTTGTTGTTAATCCTCACCTGAAGATACTTTTTTCATTGATTTTTATACAGTGGAAGAAGGGAGGGGGCGAGAGGGGTGGAGGGGGGAGAAAGAGAGAGAGAAAGAGAGAGAGGGAGAGGGAGAGAGAGAGAGAGAGAAGAGAAGAGAGGAGAGAGAGAGGGAGAGAGAAACCAATATGAAAGAGACACATTGATTGGTTGCCTCTGGCACGCATCCCTGACTGGGGCCAGGAACAAATCTGCAACCCAGGTACATATCATTGACCAGAAATCAAACTCAAGACCCTTCGGTGCTCAGGCTGACACTTTATCACTGAGCCACATCAGCCAGGGCTAAATAGCTTATTTTTATAAGACAAATAGAAAGGCTCTACTGAGGGTGTTCTATAAATTCTTTACCCTAATGGTCTGCGGAAACTGCAAACTGTGAAATCAGAAATGATATTATTCAACATAAGGCTAATGAATAATAACTAAGTTAATAGTTTTAATCTCAGAACATGAAGGCACCACCTGTCATTCTCAGAGGTGGTAGAGGTGACCTCCAGCATTCATAATGAGCAAACTAGTATAAATTCACTGCTAAATGTTACTCTATTGTATAATACTGGCATTGAGTTTCTGATATGTCAAATGTTTCAATTAACAGGTATTATTATACATATATGTCTAAAATTAAATAATTATAAAGCAAAAACATAATGGTCAACAAATTGCTATTAATACCCTGATTTTTTTTAAACAAGCAGTATATAAATTATTAATTCTAATAAAAATATACTGTAGGAAAGAAGAAACATATTTTATACATATTTTGCCCTTCCTATGAGTAAATTAGAATGAGAATCAATATAATAATATATTCTCATTCTAATTTACTCATAGGAAGGGCAAAATATGTACCTATAGTGAAAATATGACATTATTTTCAATGACATTATGAATAATAAATTCTCTAACTTTGAGCTTTTAGATATCCAAGGTAGTATCAATTTCATCTTCTATAAAAAATTTAAATCTGAAGAGGATCAAAATTTAACAGCTAAAAATATTGTGAAATCAACCTAAAAAAATCTAATTAGAAGTCCAACTCTGATTAGGGCGCTTTTCCTCTATATCTTAAAGCTAGATATTTTGGGTAAAAAAAAAAAGAAAAAAGATGAAAATCAGATAAGGAAAAAAATACCTCAGTAATAGAAAACCCAGAGCTTCATCCAATTTCCAAATATGTCTGAAAGCAGCTGTACATAGAGCTTTGAGCACAAATTTAAGATCATAAGGTGTTTTTTTAAAATATATATAACTGCAAAATTTACTAATAAATGCAACATAATTCTTACCATTTTTGGTGACCAAAAATTGTTTGCCTGTTGGTAGGTATGCCTTTACTTTCAATTCTTCCCCAGAGGCCCTTTAAAAATGGTGAGAAGCAACAAAATACAAAATAAAATAAAAATTTAAAGGCAAAGAAAGAAGATATCACATGTAAATCTCAAAACTATACAATCCACACCCCTGAAAAAACTGTTTTAGAAAGAACATCATTAAAGTGATATACATCAGAGCATCAAAGAACATCGCACTATTATAAGTTAAACTAGAGGCCCGATGCACGAAGGCTCATGCAAGAATGGCCTTCCTTCCCCTGGCTGTGGGCACCGCCTCCGCTCTGGCCGGAGCCGCCGTTCTGCCTTCCCACGCTGCCCAGACCAGAGCGGCCGGGGCAGTGCAGAACGTCCCTGGCCACTCGGCCATGTGTGCAAATTAACCTGCTATCTTCGTTGGGTTAGTTTGCATACTTACTCCTAACTGCCTGGTGGGCATCACGAAGGTATGATCAAATTGCATCTTACTCTTTTATTAGTGTAGATGTACTAAGAGATACAAACAACACACCTAAGAGAATTTGGATTAAATGAGAGATTTAAAAAATACAATAGAATGACTATTATGTTTGCCTCTGAATAAAAAGAAAATGATGTTTTGGTGAGTATAATCACATTAAGATTTTTAATCCTAAAGTACTGCTCACCTTGAGACCAAGAGGCTGAAAAATAGTTGCCTGGCATTATATAACAAAGTAGGTAGTTAGCAAAATCTCTGTTCCTGCCACACTATTAAAGTTGGAACTAAAATATGAAAGATACATTGAACCACTGAAAACAAAAAAAACTTGTACTGAGTGTTTAATACTAGAGGCCCGGTGCTCAAAATTCATGCAGGGGGGTGAGAGAGAGTGTGCCCTTCAGCTGAGCCTGCACCCTCTCCGATCTGGGATCACTCTCACAATCCAGGACTGCTGGCTCTCCAACTGCTCACCTGACTACCTTCCTGATTGCCCCTAATCACTTATGGCTGCCAGCCTGATCACCCCCTAACCACTCCCCTGCCAACTTGATTTATGCCTAACTGCTCCACAGCCAGCCTGGTCCTCTCCCCCCCGCCCCCAAACTGCTCTCCCCTGCAGGCCTGCCCCCTCCCCAACTGCCCTTCCCTGCAGGCCCCGTCACCTGCAACTGCCCTCTCTTATGGGCCTAGTTCCTAACTGCCCTCCCCTGCTGGCCATTCTGTGGAGGCCATCTTGCATTTACATGGGGTCAGCCATCTTTGACCACATGGGGGCAGCAATCTTGTGTGTTGGATGGTCAATTTCATATAGTTCTTTTATTAGATAGAATAGAGGCCTGGTACATTGGGGGGCCAGCTGTTTTCCCCTAAAGAGTGTCCTGAATCAGGGTGGGGTTTTTTGGGGGGGTATGGGGTGGCCTGGGTGACGGGCCTGTGGTGGTTTGCAGACTGGCCACACCCCCCAGTAACCCAAGCAGAGGCCTTGGTATCTGGGATTTATTTACCTTCTATAATTGAAACTTTGTAGCCTTGAGCGGAGCCAAACCTCCTGCTTGCTCTGTGGTCACAGCCATTTTTGTTGATATATTTATCTTCTATAATTGAAACTTTATATCTTGAGTGGAGGCCTAGGCTGGCCAAGGTGTACAGAAAGCTTGGCTTCCTCCATCACTGGGGGCAACTCAAGCTTCCTGCTCTCTCCAGCTCCGTGGCTGCTGCCATTTTTGTTGGGATTTACCTTCTATAATTGTAACTTTGTAGCCTAAGCAGAGGCCAAAGCAGGCCAGGGCAGGCGGAAAGCTTGGCTTCCTCCATTACCGGGGAAACCTAAGCCTCCTGCTTGTTCTGTGGCCGCAAACATCTTGGTTGGGTTAATTTGCATACTTGCTCCTTGATTGGTTGGTGGGCGTGGCATGTGGGTGTAGCAGAGGTACAGCCAATTTGCATAGTAGTTTTTTATTAGGATAGTATTTAGAACTCTAACATACATATTTTTTACAATCACCCAAGTATATTTTTATTGATTTGAGAGAAAGAAAGAGTAAGAGAAACATCCATGTGCAAGATAATCGACTGTTTGCCTAACATATGCAGCCTGACTGGGATTTGAACCCACAACCTACGTATGTGTTCTGACTGGAAATCAAACCTGCAACCTTTTGGTATAAGGGAGAACACTGCAATCAAATGAGCCACCCAGCCAAGGCTAACATAAATTATTTTTATTTAATCCTCAGAACCCTAAGAGGTGGGTACCCTTATATCCCCTTTTTATAGGTAAGTAAACAAGAGCTTAAAGAAGATTGTCCACAGTTACAAAACCAGAAAGTGGAGGAGTCAAGTGAGTCCAAGGCTCCTACTTCTAAACACTATGCCCTCTGTGGGTCATTTCTGATTTTTCAGTGCTACTCTCTAGAATACCTCATTAAGGATTTGCTCAAAGAATCTCCTGAGGGTCAAAGAATCTTTTACTGGAATTGGCCAGAGCTGTGATAGTATATGATGTCTATCACAATCACATGAGCATAAGCTTGGTGTATGCTGTGTTCTTTCTCAAGCTTTAGTCTAAAGCTCAAACCATCTATTTAAGCACAAAATAAAGCTAGGTATCCTTGGACCTTTCCCAAAAGTCAAATTCAACAATGCCATGACTCTGTCTGAAGTTCTGAGAGAAGATATAATAAAGTCATGATGGCACCTATAGACATGAAAGTATACATAGCAAGAAAATATTGTTTCAAACAGTGATTTAAAATAACTTGTTCCTTTGGCCTCAGTAGTTCAGCTGGAAGTGGGGGCACTGGAGTGGGTTAAAATTAAGTTCTAAGTTAAAATAAAATTATTTCAACCACTGCAATTCATAATGTATAACTATACACCACCATCAGCTAAAGAAGATCCTGTACATGTATATAGTCCCTATAATAAAACTATATATCACATGTCTAAATTAGATAAAGATTATAATAAAGAAACCTGAAAAAGAAAATGTGTTCCTAGATCCTAAATTAGTTATGTTTATAAAATGAGTATTACTTAAAACTTTATACACTTATTTGACTTTTTAAAATAATATAGACCAGACCTAGGTAAATATAGTTTTAACTTACAATTTAACATTGGGGGGGGGGGGGGGAGTCAACCAATTTTACTAAATCAGAGATTCTGATATTAACTCAGTTTTAAATATGGAACAGAAATACATATAGGAAAGACAAGGACATAAAAATAAATAAATCTGACACTTTGGCCTTGATACTTAAATAATTCTCTAAAAGATAAAGAGCAATTTATACATATAAAAGTGTAATATGCAGACTGACTGGACAGTGGAACGACTGGTTGTGCCCTGAGCACCAGGGGGCAGACACTCAATACAGGAGTTGCCCTCAGCCCACAGGCTCCGATTGCCCAATGGGGAACTGGGGAACTGGGAACCAGGGGTGGGTGGGGGTGGATGCAGGCTTCGGACACAGGTGAAGGGGGATGGGGCTGCCAACTTCTTGGCCCCCCTTCCCCCCAACCCAGTTGACAGGCTCTGATTGCCTGATGGGTAACTGGGAACCTGGGATGGGTGGAGGAGGACATGGGAGGCGCCAGGGCCCCAATCACAGAGAGTGACCCGCAGCAGTGGTAGCTGGGGTTGGGGCCGGCTGCCAGGGAAGATCGGCCCAGATCACAGGCCAGGCCTAGGGACCCTACCCTTGCAAATTAGTTGATAATAAGCAGTAACAACTGTGTGAGGTATGTCTTAAATATAAAAATTAAGGGGAAGGAAAGAGTACATACTGTAATTCTTTAAGCTCTTTAGATATTAAGGAAAATTTATCAATTAGAACCTGGTTAGTTCTAGAAATACTTCTCCCAAATCAAAACTGTGCCTTTCAACTGTAATTGAAAAAGTGTCATTGAAAAAAGGCTATTAATAAGTTTACAACTTGTAAATAATAATTGCAAATATTTCTAGAACAATTATATAGCTCTGCCAGTATTGAGATCACTTTTCCAGGAACTGTCTGTCTGGTGGTTTTACCAGGAGTACTTAAAAGTAATAAAACTGCATTTTTTAAAACACGTTCTGCTATTATTCAGAATATTTAAAATACATGATATGAGGTCAGCTAAGTTGATTAAACTACTTTTATAAAGAGAAAAGTTAATAAAGAAAATAAAACATTATAAAAGTCAATTACCAGCAGATTTTCAATAAAGATATTAGTCGATATGAAAGTTTTAAACTTTTGAGTTAATTCCTAACATGAGCATACTTTTGAACTTTAATAAAAGGTCATACGGTTAAAGAACTTAAGACTGCAAAATCTCTGCATTAATGAATGTTATAGAAATATGCAATACCCATTAATATGAAAAAAAATGAGCTGATCAAATTTATAATCTCTTGAACATGATTTTTTTAAAAGCACTATAAAGAAATGGGATCCTAGTGAAGGATTTATCTCAAAAATACCCATCTTTTGTGTTAACAGAGCAAAACAAAACAGGGGTAATGCCCAATTTTTCTTCCTTTACTTTTGAATCACGGGGAACCATTTAATAAAAAAATCTATTAAAGAGGACCAGAATGGTTATTTCAATTTTCATGTCCTAACAAATTTTTCAAACTGCCATAGTTATGAAGTCATACCTTTATTAATTTTATATTCTTCACCCAAGTTTACTTACCATTGCCATGTTGGACAGTGGTGAACTAAGTGATCTCCAGCTGCCACAAACTATTAAGGATTTAGAAGGAATATGAAAAAAGGGAAAAAGAAAAATTGAACATTACTGAATGTAAGTTGGCAAAATACCAAAATGTTCATCATTGTATTCTTGATACCCAAAAATCAATTTAAATACAAACAGCACCAAATCTGCTCTACCAGCATCAAGATTTTTTATTAAAACTGAAAAATTTTTAGCATCCATAAGTTTAATTTTGGAACAAAAAAAAAACCCACACTGAATGCTATTATTTTAATCTGTTCCTATCACTGGATTAAATGCCAAAGGCATACATATCATGAAATGTATAAAATTGACATAGGGTTCAAAATGTCAAAAATCATTTTATAGAGAAATAAAATGCAGAGAGATTCTTCCTAGTGGCTGAAAAGTCAAAGAAGATCTTGAAAAATTTGTTAAATAGACACGTCTGGTGCAAGAATAGTTTTTACATTACATTTCTCTCTCTCTCTCTCTCTCTCTCTCTCTCTCTCTCTCTCTCTCTCTCTCTCTCTCTCTCTCTCTCTCTCTCTCCTTTCTTAAGGTAACAGCCAATTTTGAAAGCTTTTTCACAGTCTTAAAGGAATATTAACAAGAGTGCCAAATAATGAGGGAATGTTAGAAGCTTTTGGACTGACTTAGAAAACACCGGAACAATTAAGAAACTGAATTCTCTAACAAACTTTGGACTTTCTGGGCAGATTGAACATTGAACGAGGTTTGTTTATTGTTTCTTTTTTCCCCCAAAAAAATAAAAACCAGACTCAGAAATAAGTAGTTTAATCTTTTGAGAATTTCTATTATACATGAACTGCTCTTGCTACAAGACAGAAATCTTATTTTTGAAAGCAGAAAATGAAAGTCTGTTAAGTATAATTGCAGTGCCCCAACTCAAACAATATGCACACATACTTTCCCAATTACTATTTCACAACAACTCTAACTTAAAATCATTTATTTTTCATGGGTTTATTACACAGCAACAAATTGCAATGTCTTTAATTTTCTAATGTCTTTCTGAGAAAAGTCAGTCTGTATATAATACTCTATTTTATTTGAGAGAGTAAAGCTCTATAAACTAAGCATTCTGAGAGTAATTTTCCAAAAAGACATAACAATAAGATTTAGCATTATATTACCAACACCAACTGTTTATCTTCTTTTATTTCAATAATCCTTTTTATTAGTTAAACTGCTTAAGGAAAGACAAAAACCCAAATGAAAACAATACTCTCTTCCCTAGGTTTTCAGCATTTTGGGTCATTTCGACCAGATGCTGCATTTAACACTGTAGCTATTAGAAACTAATTTAGCACCATCAAAAGAGTATTAATTTAACAAAATGCAAGCAAAACAATGAATTAAAAATTTTAAAAACTTCTTTAATGATACTGCCTTTATGTCATAAGACTCTAATATTTTATTCCATGGTAACTCCGGTAGTATTTATCAAAAAAATAACATAAACACTAGAAGGTAAGGAAAACTATAAAAGAACAGAGAATTGTACTGATAATTAATACATATGTACATCTGCCCTCACTAGCAATGGCCATTATTAAATGTTTCATATGTTCAAGTAAAATAAAATTAAGACAAAAACCCAAACTTCTAAATTTTCAACATTTTCTCCAGTAGCTTTCTTAGTGACTAAATATTATATAACACTGAATAACTGCCAACAAGATTGAATCAATATTAACATTTTGTTGAGCAACTTTATTTTCAAAGCTGCTCTTTATTACTATATTCAATCAAGTCATACAAACATTGTACATTAAAGTATTTTTAATAAAACAATACTATTTTGGATAATGCTGACCCTCTTTTAAACACAAGACTTCCACACCTCTCAATGAAAACAAAAAGATATCTGGAGGCTGACGGCCAGAAGCCTAGAAATAGTAAGAGAAAACAAAAACCTCAGTATAGTATTTATCTAAAACAAATTATGTCTTCTCATTTTTTTTCTTTTTTAATATATTTTATTGATTTTTTACAGAGAGGAAGAGAGACAGAGCTAGAAACGTCGATGAGAGAGAAACATCGACCAGCTGCCCCATGCACACCCCCTACCAGGGATGTGCCTGCAACCAACGTACATGCCTTGACCGGAATTGAACCTGGGACCCTTCAGTCCGAAGACCAATACTCTAAAGCTGAGCCAAACCAGTTTCGGCTGTCTTCTCATTTTTCTTCTCCAGAGTCATTCTAATTTAACTTAACCCTATAATTGTGCTCTATCCCAATTCAGCATTATGTGGTTGGGACCCAGCTGGGCTGGTTATGCTTCGTATTTTTTTTAAAAAAGGGAAAACTTACTAGGTGTACCGGTCAATAATGCAGATTTTTTTCAATAGATGGAATTATACATATGTTGATATATAGGCGATTTGATATGTTTGCTATTTTGTTGTATTGACAACAATCTTCAAAACTTCATATGTCAAATTTGCTGAAGGTGTTAACATCATAGATATTTTTACACTTAGAAATGTCAAATTTTGTGTCAAAAAAAGAGCATTTGCGGGAAGTTATTATTCATTACTTTATTTTGAAGAAAAGTGCTGCTGAATACTTTGGGAAGCTTATGGTGAACATGCTCCATCTCAAGATACTTGTGAATGCTGGTTTAAACGTTTTAAAAGTAATGATTTCAATGTGAAAGACAAAAGAACATCCAGGTCAACCGAAAAAGTTTGAAGACCAACAATTACAAGCATTATTGGGTGAAGATGCGTGTCAAACTTAAAAACAACTTGCAGAAAAATTATGAGCTTGTGAAACCATTATACTGATCACTATCAACAACAAATAATCAATTTGAACCATGACCAGAATGTTCCATAAGACACGGCAAAGTAATTTTGCTTCATGATGACACACCATTACACACTTCAAAACCAGTAAAGACACATTAAAAGATCTTGCCTGGGAAGTATTATCCCACCCGCTGTATTCACCAGAACTTGCTCCTTCACATTACCACTTATTCTGATCGATGGCTCACGAACTTTCTGAGCATCACTTCTAAACATACAAAGAAGTGGAAAATTTGGTCTCTGAATGGTTTGCTTCAAAACAAGAAAAGTTCTATTGGGATGGTATCCACAAATTACCTGAAAGATGAGGAAATGTGTAGCTAGCATGGACATTTCTTTGAATAAAGTACTTCTGATGTTTCTCTTGAAATTATTGTGCTTTCTTTGATTACAAAATCCGCTATTATTAATCAGTACATCTAGTATTACCCACTTCATGATACAATTAAGTGTAACAGTTATTCAATTTAGGATTAGTAGCTATTTTAAAATAGCTTAACTCTATCTAATAACTAATGATATGGATCTCTAACATCTTTACATAGAGGAGATAAAAACCAAAGAGCGCAAAAAGAACAGTATACATTCATCTCTGCTCTTGACTTCAAATACTTAGTTTCAAGAGTCTTGTCTACATTACACCTTTGTTGGACAAGAACATTAAGATCTTTAACATCAAAACTTAGTTTTATTTGGCATTCAAGATATTGAACTCATGATGCCTAAGGTAGAATGGGTCCATCAGAAAATTTCTAGTCATGACCCCTCATTTTATAAATAAGGAAACACGAGGCCTGTGCCTGGTTAGCTTAATTGATTTGTCCGAGTCGGAATAGGAGAAATTGGTCTGGAGGGCAGATCTTCTAGTTTCTTTCCACACTATGTGTCTTCACTAAAAATAAAGACAATTTTAGGTAAAAGATCATTATTCTTAGAACTCAAAAGGATTTGGCACTGAAGAAATTCCATCCCAATTGAAAACTGAAAGATCAGTTAATTCTCCAGCTTGAGGTCTTGCAATTTTCAGCAATAGCCAATCATAAAACAAGGTCTATTTCAAAAAGTTTCTCTCAAAACAATGATTAAGTTCTATTGGCAATTAGTGGTACTTTTAATGAGTTAAAAATGAAGCTTAATAAATTCTTTGCCATTTATTATGATTAAAAAAATAAGTCTGATGCAATCATAACCATTCATAAAACTGGAGTCTAAAAGGACTTTTAGGTTAGTATTCATTCCGCTAAGGATGACAAAATAACTGCCTAAAGGAAAGAGAATACTTTTATTATATAGATTTGGTGAGCAAGTAAAATGAGTCCTTTGAACATAATTCTTTATTAAAAGTTCAATAAAACTCCACAGGCCTCTAAAACAGCCATCAGTTTCAGCATTAAGCAGAGTTAATATTACTTGGTTGGGAGAAAAAGTGAAAGAATGTGAGAAAAAAAATCCGCGTTAAATATGTAGAAATAAAATGTTTAAGCTAAATACTGAGAGAAAACTTAATATCCAAGCAGTGAAGCAAAGTTTCCAAACGGAAAGTCATGAAAACTCATGTATGGTTAGACAAAAGCACAACAAAGGCCACAGAGTCCACTGCTCAATACAGCACAAATATGAGTGAAGGGTAAGTGACGATAGGAATATTTTCCGTTCCCTCTTCCATCCCCACTTCCAAATAAAGAGGAACCACTAAGAAATATGAGAAGTGGCAAATCAAGAGGGAAGTTGCATCTTCTATGGGAAGCAGAAAGCCCTATAAAATTGCTAATACAATCAACAGAATCTACTTTTACTCAAATGTAAATTAAAGTTAAATATCTTTTTTCTTAGTAGTAAAAAAGCCACCCAATTTAATATAATTGTAAAATATCATAGCTTCAGAATATCTTCAGCACTCACCTCTTCTGGGGTAATAACACCTGTTTCCTTAAACTTTGATTCCTAAAGAGAGCAAAAAGAATAACAGTATTATACTACTTTCACTTTCAAATTAAAAATGTTTTTGGTACAACTGTTTGGAGCACTTACAAAAAAGGAACATATCACTGGTACCTGACTTCAAGGAATATATATGTCTAGTGGAGAAAACTGACATAAAAATAATTTCAAAACAATAATTTGGGGAAATCACAAATATTGTTATTTTACAGAACAGTAAAAATGTCTTAAAGATGTTTAGACATACCACAATTCAGCCAACATTTCATTTAAATGGAATAATATTAGAAACCAAACCTATAAGTTGTAAAGTCACTTAACACTATCCCATTATTTTCATCTCCAAGGTACTAATGCAATAGTCTCTTCGTTAAAGCAAGGATGTTATCTACCAAATATTTCTAAGTTTGTAAGTTATATGTAAGACTTTGTGGTAAAGTCTGAAGCAATGCAAATATTCATTTATGAGCATTATTCATTCAGCAAATATTAACTGAATACTATGTGCACTATTTGAGTTAATGGGGGTATAGGAGTAAAAAAATAGAGCAAACACATCTTTGTCCTCATAAGAACTTTACACTCTCTGGTGGAGAGACAAAAGCCAAATGGTAATGAATACCAGGAAGAAAAATGAGGCAGAGGGGAAAATGGACTGGTCCAGGATGTAAGGAGAGGTCAGAGATGGTCAGCGAACAAAGACTTCACTGATAGGTAACTACCGAACGGAGACCTTAGGAAAGAAACCAGCCACAAGGCTGTCTGTCTGGGTGAAGAGCGTTTCAGGCAGAGGGAAGGGCAAATGCAAAACCTGAGGCAAGAGAGTGCTGGATGGAGTAACAAAAAATGGGTCAGACTGGCCTAAGCAAAAGTGAGCAAAGGATAGAATAGGTAAGTCCATAGGGGCCTTCTATAATACCAAGAGGCTTGAAGACCACTGTAAAAACTTTGGCTTTTACAGTACTAATGTCTTTCTAACCATGGTTTTTCTTCATTTTTACCAATAAGGAAAAATAATTCTTTCTTTCTCAGGGATTTAGTTTTTTGTTTTGTTTTTTTCCTTGCTTTCCTATGTCTGGTAGGAAACTATAAAGTATGTTCTCTGTAAACCAACAAGTTTGCACAGGGAGAGGCAAATTTATTTTTAGTATTAAAGAAATTCAACTTTCTTTATTAAAAATACATACTGACAAGCTAACACTTCCTTAACAGTTTGGGGAATAAGTAAAATGATTTCCTAAAACATAATTCTATGTTATAAGATCAATAAAATACAACTACTCAACAAAATAGTGGTTTTATATTTAATTTAGAAGGTCTTTTTCTTTTACTCCTCTCTCCCTGAAACTAAAAAGTTATAACAATCATGTATTATTTAAATGCTCTATACCTAGGTCCTAGGTAGACAGATTTCTGGAAAAATGACATAATATGCAAAATAATGATTCAACTGTCAAGATGGTTTTTAAATTCAAATTGGCTAAATAATCTCAATTAAGATGGGTTTCACAGTAAACAAATATAAGCATAGCAGGAGTTGAAATTCTCATTTTTAAACTTTTCTGACTTTTTCTTTAACTTGGTCTAACTAAGTATTATTTTAAAATCAGTCTCAGAAATAAATGTAAAAAGAATACGGAACTAACATTTCCTTTTGCCCTGGGAAAGGAGCAGAGTAAAGCTGTCCACTATTCTCCTTCGGGTACCAGAATAGCTTCCTGAATAAAGAGAACCATTTCCATGGATACAAGATTTGTAAAATTTTAGTTGAAAGCTTAAAAAAAAAATTACACAAGAACTCCCCATTCAACCACTGTAATTACTCTTTTCGGAAAGGAAAAATAAAGTTGCAATAAAAATTTTACTCTAAAATAATTATAAAGACCTGAATACACTTCTAGAAATTTACCTTTGAAAGTAAGAAAACCGTCCAGTCTCTCCTGTAATAATAGCTAATGTGTCACAATCTTCACTTTAAAAAGGATGCCTTGCCAATGTAAAAGTCAGTTAAATATCTAGGAAGGGCAACGCTGCTCCTTACCGTCCCTGACGCCCCAGATGAACCACCAGTTTCAGCTACTTTTAAAAACTTGGGGAAGGGAGGTCTTGCCTGTCAGCTGGGTTCAATGGTGCTGCTGATGCTGCCAATTCCCCTTGTCCCTCTGGAATCTAACAGGTTGGGTCCTCAACCACCCCTGGTTATGTCAAACGCTTAATTACACAATAGAGAGGAAAAGTGACATGTGTCATTTTAGGACCAAGCATAGATATCTTTTTTCTTTCTTTCTTTCTTTTTGAAGAGAAGCAAAATCTTTGTTTAAAAAGTTCAAAGGACTACCGCTGCCGGGTTTAACGCTCTTAGAGGTACTTGGCTTCGCACCACCTCGCAGCCCGACGGACCCGGCGCGCTGAGAAGGGAGACACGACTGTGCCCAGGGCGTCGCTCCAAGTTTACCCGGGGAGCCGGGAAGCCCTAGGAAACAGCTGCGGAGACCACGGGGGGAGAGGGGCACCTTTCCCGGTGACCCCCCTCCCCTCCCCTTCCCCGGCGGAGCCTCCCCCGGGCCCGGTCCTCGGCGCCCGCGGAGTGGAGCGAGTGCCTGGCAGCCCCTGGCAAGCCCCGCCCGGCTTACCTTGAGGACCGGGGTCAGGTACTCAGCCACCTCCAGTGCCTTTCCCTTCACCGTGTTAATCACATTCTGCATCCTGGGGCCGGGGGAGCGGCCGGCCCCGCGACGGGGTGCGGAGGGCAGCAGGGACGGGGACCAGGAGTCAGAAAATGTCCCCGCGGCCACCGACGTGCACCGGCACGCGGCCGACGGCGGGACCCGAGGGGACGGGACGCGACGGGACGGACGGGGCGCGGGGGAGGGGCGGCCGGCGCCGCGCGCGCGCGCGCGGACGGGGCGCGCGCTCCCGCGCCCCAGGCAGCAGCGAGTGGCGGGCGGACTGGGCCGGGCTGTCACCTGGCCTCGAGGGCGGGCGGCAGGGCCCAGGGGTGTGTTGGGGATGGGGGGTGGGAGGGGGAAGAAAAAGAGCGGGCGCACGCGCACCCCGGCCCTCAGGAACTCTCTTCTTCCCTCAGCTTCATTCGCGCCTCTTCCGGCTTCCCCTTCCTTTCCTCCCTCTCTCGCCGTAGCTCCGCCCCCACCCGGGCCTCACGTGACGCAGGCCTCTCGGGACACGTGACGCGAGAAAGGCCCCGCTCGGGCGGAACCGGGTCGCGTCCCCCCGCCCTCCGGAAGCGTAACACGGAGCGCGCCTGCGCAATGGGCGCCAGGTCCGCGCGCGCTATCTCCCCGTCGGGTCCTTTATTGTGCTTTTTGTTTCGTAATAGGAGGTTCTGGGGCGGAGGCTTTTTCGCCTTTCTTTCCCTCCCTTAGGTTCCCTGCATATGGATCCTAAAAGCTGCTGCTGCTGCTGCTGAGCTGGGTCAGCTTTAGGATGTGAGCTCTTCCCCCTGGAAGCTCTTCGAGGGAGGAACTGAGGTGACGAGGCCAAGCAGTGCGCGTGCGGATGAGGGGTGGGCGCGGCCGGAGAGGTCCCTACTGCGCAGGTGTGGCGAGAGGTCTTCCCGAGCCTTGCAGGAAAATCGGCTTCCTCTAGTGGGAGAGGTGTCTGTCTGTCTGGCCTCCGTACTTTGCCCAGTCGAGCTGTCACTGGTGGCTTTTCAAACCCATAGCTCCCCAATCCCCCAGTGCGCTATCCCTACACGGGTAGCCTTTGTCCAAGTACCTGGCCTGGCGTTTAGTGTTAGCATATGAAAGTGGAACCAGATAACCAAGGGGTCCATTCTGCCCGTCACTACCTGAGCCACTTAAGCAGAGATAGGATTGAATCATAGATGAGCGTTGTGTGTTTTTTGAGTGTGTGTGTGTTTTTGTTTTTGTTTTTTCTAATAATGCTGGCAGTATGGGAGAGTAGCAGGTCTTCCACAAAAATCTGCTCTGCCCCTCCCCATAAGCCAGCTGCTTATATTGGGCAGAAGGGCAAAGATTAGGTGGGAAAGTAAGAAGTAACAGGCATGGGAAAGTGGGCAAGGTATTGTGGTTACACTCTACAGGCAGTAGGGCTGGGGGTTGCAAACGACAGGTGCCTTGGAGACTAGATTGTTTCAGCCAAGAGGTTGTCAGTCTTTCCAGAATGATAGGCAGATCTTGGAAAAGGAGGATGAACTGCATTCCCATGTTCGCTCCCACGTCCCAGGGAGCACCACTCTCAGCCAGGCTAGACTGTGTTTCTCTAATCAGAGCAGAACCATCTCGGTTAACAGCATGATTAATATTTCTTATAATTGTAGCTAATCCCCAGTATTCTATTTCTGCCCTTTAAAAAAGGAGGGCCGGAGTGGCATTGATTTCTAAGTTCCTTCTTACTTCCATAATGAGTTCAATATATAAGTTAACAGTAGTGTAATAAAATCTTTGCAAGAAAGCTCTTTTTCCTCCTCCTGAGGAAGAGCTGCAACGGAAGGGAGAAATACAAATCTGAAATTCTCCTCTTCTAGAGCAAAGTTGCTACTAAAAATGAAAGTTAAAGAATTGCTTTTCTGTAGAATTCTGCAGTCCCCAAGTGTCAGTTACTCTCGCTTGCTGCCTTTGGCAGCACATCTAATGTGGTTCTTGCGTTTTCTGACTCGAGAGTTACCCCTCTATCAAACTTTTATTGTTTTCATTTGCTTTCTCCATAGTTTCTCTTGTACACTTCAACTTTCTTCTTTTGATAATAGCCATAGCCAGCAGGGTTACCCATGAAAATTTATTTTCTGTTTGTCACTCTTCAATGGTACTTGCATTATTTTTAATTTGCCAGTTGGATTGCTCATGAATTTATTCTTCTTTTAAAGGCAATTAGAAAACAGTGAAATGGAAAGCAAATGCTGTGGTCATCCCAAGTTATGCTCCTTGTCAACAATGTATACATTCTTGCTAGGGGCCATATTTATTGCTTTAAGCTCAAGTCGCATCCTATTGGTAAAATATTCAGCCAATGAAGGTAAGTTAAGACTTGTAATATGGAACACTTACACTGTTCCATAATAGGCATTCTTCTGTTTTTTTTGTTTTCTTGTGGGTATAATACCCTTTCAAGTATGCGCTTCATGTGAATGATGAAGAGTGTTTAAATTGATTTTTTAACCTTTATTTTTTTAACAAGAAACATTTTTTATGCTTAGTGAAGTTTGTGTCAGTCAAGCACAGGATCCAACCCTTTACAGAACATACAATAACATTGCTTTATCAACCAGTACATCTGGGCCTGTAGCAATATGATATATTTGTTTGGTCACTTGGCATTTTTGATCTTAGTTACTGCATCAATGTAACAATACAGATAATTAGCTCTGATAAATATGTTTCAAGAAATCTATTTTTTAATGTAATAATTTGTGTTTAAACTTACTTTAATTCCACAAAACTATATTGAGAACCTTTCCTGACTTACTGAGGACACATAAGTTTATGAAACCATGACTTTTAATGGTCTTGAGAAGTCTGTTATGTCTTGAGTCTCTACTTCAGTTGGCATTTTTCTGCCAGGCCCTAGGCTAAGTATAGGCAGGGTTCAAAGTGCAGAGAACTTATGTACTTGTTTACAGAGCCCAGTGGTTGGCAAACTCATTAGTCAACAGAGCCAAATATCAACAGTACAATGATTGAAATTTCTTTTGAGAGCCACATTTTTAAAACTTAAACTTCTTCTAATGCCACTTCTTCAAAATAGACTCGCCCAGGCTGTGGTATTTTGTGGAAGAGCCACACTCAAGGGGCTAAAGAGCCGCATGTGGCTCACAAGCCGCAGTTTGCCAACCACTGGCATAGCCCATGGACACAGGCAATAGGGTGGTGAAGAACAAAGTGCATAAGACATAGACCTAGTTCTCATGAACAGTTAGTTTATTAGGAGAGACATATATGTAAATACATTATGAAAATACAGTACAATAAATGCAGTTCTATACCAAAGATGAAGTTGTTTAGAGTAAGAAGTGGTATATTCTGTCTGGGAGACAATGATGTGGAGTGCAAAGGGATAAAGAGATGCTTCCTTGATAAGGTGACAGTTGATCCACAAGAATACAAGGTGGTCAGGAGTATTCAAAACAGCCTGTAAAAATGAACAGAATCATATAAAAGTAGGATTGATTGTGAGAAACATGTAGTTCAAAATTATTGAACAAAAAGTTTAAGGGCTTAGAGGAGAGAGGAAAGGAATACTTTGCCAGAGAGAGAAGCAATGATCAGAGATAGTTAAGGACTTCATATGCCAGGCTAAGGATCTGGGACTTTATTCTCTAGACCTTAGATCTGGGGAATTAGGACTACTTGCAGTATTATAAAATGAAGGGGAAAATGAAAAAGACTATTATGGTAACTGGATGGAATATGGACAAAAGGGGAAGAGACTGGAAGCGTAGTTAGGTGGTTATTGATAATCGAGCTACAGGTGATGGAGACTAGCCAAGGCTTTGGAAGTAGAAACAGAAAAGAGAAGATAGATTCAAGAAATATTTTAAACATAGACAAGACAGGACTTGAAGAATATATTGAATGTGAAGACTAAAGAAGATGAAATACTGGATAGCTCCAAGTTTTCTCTTGAAAGTGCTAAGTGGATTAGTGATATTCTCAGCTGAGATGAAGACTATTAGGAGGAAGAATAGGTTGGGTAGAGTTCAGAGAGATTACAGAGTTTTAGCTTTGTACCTTCCATAAGGCCAGTAGTTGTATACTTGCTCATTGCAATATCCTGCAGTATCTAGCACATCACACATGTGAAGGAAAATGTAAATTAATGAATTAAATACAAGGTAGTTATTCATATGCATATGCATATAATTAAATGTTCCAGAGTACAGATTTGGAGACATTAATATTAAATTGACATTTAAACCCTAGAAGCAAAGGGTTCATTCAGGGTAACATGCAAGATGAGAAAACAGAGCCAAGGACAGAACTCCAAGAAATGCCAACATTTAACCATCCTGTAGACACTCAGAAGGATGTTAAGAAGGAATTGTTAATGAGAACTAAATGCACATGAGTCATAAAAAAGGAAAGAAACAAGTTTGAAGACAGGGAATTGCAACATCATACTAAGATAAGGATTAAAACAAGCCCTTTGGAATTAGTAATATATATACTGAGTGGCAAGATTATTATGATCTCTGAACGCATAATAATCTGGCCACTCAGTGTGTGGGTGTAAAAAAAATTTTAAAAATATATATATACACATATATACACATACATATACATATACATATACATATACATATACACACACACACATATATATATATATATATATATATATATATATATATATACTCTCACATATATTAGAGGCCCGGTGCATGAATTCTTGCATGGGTAGGGTCCGGCCATCCTGCCAGGGGAGGGCACATGGGTGGTTGGCTGGCCTGCTTGTTAGTCGAATTCTTGGTCTAGGTGACAATTTGCATATTAGACTTTTATTATATAGGATATACACTGAGTGGCCAGATTATTATGCGTTCAGGGATCATAATAGTCTGGCCACTCAGTGTGTGTGTGTGTATGTGTGTATACTTTTATTTATATATATATGTAAAAGGCTAACATGCAAAGTGTCCCCTTGGGAGTTTGACTGGGAGACTGTGAGTTTGATCGCTTGCTCTTTCATGCCCTGAACACCAGTGGGTGGTGTGGAATGAAGGAAGGCCCAGCAGGCCCATTGGGGTGGCAGGCAAGACCGGCCACTCTGCATGCCTGTCTCCAGAGTCCCCCAGTCCCCTCAGCCCTCCTGCTACCCAGAGCTGGCCCAAGGCACAGGTAACCAGGGCTGGCTGAGGCTTGTAATGCCAGCAGTGGCAGCAGCAGAGGTGTGATGGGGGTGTTGCCTTTCTCTGATATCTGGGTTGCCTACTGCCCCTGAGGGCTCCAGACTGTGAGAGGGGACAGGCTGGCTGAGGGACACTCCCTTCCAGTGCATGAATTTTCATGCGCCAGGCCTCTGGTAAGAAAATAAGAACAAGAATGAATTGAAGAATAAGTTTAAGAGTTGTGTTCTGAAACCTCCACCTAACCCCCTTCTTGTTTGTGCATGTTTGCTGATGTGTATCATGAGAGAGATCAATGCAAAGTATTGGAGGAAAATAGAGTTTGATTTCAGTCTAGCTTTGAGCTCAGAAAAGGGAAGAGGATATCTTTTAACTAGGCTTCAAATGATGGAAAGTTTAACATGCAAATAACTAAATTTATGTAACATTTATTAAGTGTCCACTAAGTGCAAAACACCATTAACTGCCAGGTATATGAAGATGACTAGCATGGTCCCTTCCTTATGAGCAGATTACATTCTAAAGGTAAGAGATAAACAAAAAATAACAACAATACAATGTGGTAAGGACTGTTAATAGAGGTTTGTAGGTAGTGGTACAAGATCAGAGATGAATAAGAAATGAGTTATGCTTAGGTTGAAAAGGTCAGGGGAAACCACAGGGAAAAGGAAGAAGGGTGTTCTGGAGAGAATGTCAAGTTGGTGCTTTTCCTCTGTACTTGGCCAGTTTGTGTTTTTAATATGATGACCAAGGGAAACAAGGAAATGTTTTCAAAAGCAGGCAAAATCCATTCCTTAAAAGAGAACCTAATAATGTTTATGTTTGTCCTTGGCAAAATTATAGAGCAAGTTTTTTGTAAGCATTCGGAAAAGACAGTGGTAACAGCTAAGACCAAGGCATGCTAACCAAACGTCATTTCCTAATTAGATTGACTTATAAATTAGGACATAGCTTCCCAACTCATCAGTGGGTTCTTGAGTGTGTCAGAGCATTTTCTCCCAGCCCTAGAGTAGCCAGAGCCCTGGAGCAGTTGCCTCTTGCCTCAAATAGCTTCCTTCTTTTACCCCAATGTACCATTTGTTCCAGAGTGCCAAACAAATATTATCTTTGTGTGCCATTTTTTGAAACAGAGAGGAACACTTTTGACACCATGAGCTGAGTAATAATTCAGCCAGGTAAAGTCATAACTGTTTGAGGAGTAAAGCCCCAAAGGATTAATCAATGGCCGGTTTTAGAAGGCAGTCTCTAATGCCATGCCACAAAGCTTTATTGCCCATAGCCCTAGCCTCAACATATTTATCAGCAACTTGGATGAAAACTTAAGAGGCATATTTATATATTCAAATGCTGAACAGGGTAGGGATAGATAAAAATAGTCAGTGAATTAAGAAACAACCCTAGCCGGTTTGGCTCAGTGGATAGAATGTTGGTCTGCGGACTGAGGGGTTTCGGGTTCGTTTCCAGCCAAGGGCACATGCCAGAGTTATAGGCTTGATCTCCAGTGGGGACATGCAAGAAGCAGCCAGTCAGTGGTTCTCTCTCATCATTGATGTTTCTATCTCTCTCCCTCTACCTTCCTCTCTGAAATAAATAAATACATATAAAAAAAAAAAAGAGCAAACTCAATTGGATGAAATTTAATATAACCAGCATTACAATTCAGCTTTTAAAAAACACTTCTAAATTATTATCTGTATATAAGCATTGTATAAAACAAAATTGATAATTAAACATTTCTGTTATATTTCAGAAAACAAATATGATTATCTTCCAACTACTGTGAATGTGTGCTCAGAACTAGTGAAGTTGGTTTTCTGTGTGCTTGTGTCATTCTGGGTTATAAAGAAAGGTGAGTCTTGAAGTAATACTATATATGTGTTAAAAATCATAGAATGAAAACTTTTTATAAGTGGCAGGCAGGAACATTTTATTTCATTTAGCCCATTAAATTTATATATGTGGATGCTAAAATATAAATATAATTTTGATTATCTGTGTTATTCAGGTGAAGAAATGGGCTCAGAGAAAAGTTTTTTGTTTTTTTTTAATAATATATTTTATTGATTTTTAACAGAGAGAAAGGGAGAGAGATGGAGAGCTAGAAACGTCGATGAGAGAGAAACATCGACCAGCTGCCTCTTGCACACCCCCTATTGGGGATGTGCCCGCAATCAAGGTACATGCCTTTGACCGGAATTGAACCTGTGACCTTTCAGTCCGCAGACCGATGCTACCACTGAGCCAAAACCGACTTCGGCTCAGAGAAAAGTCTTATGCAGTTAGGGGTAGGATGGCAGAGCCAGGGTTCCACCCACGTTTTCTAGTGTCCTGTCTGTTGCTTTCCCTTGTAGCTTGTTCTTATAGTAGGTCATATAGTGAGTTAGTTATTATTCAAATTCAGGATTTTTTAAAATTACTCTCGTCTGACTTAGTATGTGACACATTGCAAAGACATCCCCTTTTCCATCAGCAAAGGTAGTATAGTGCGTTGGAGTCAGGGACACTGTATTTAGGACAGATTATTTTAACTTTTCTGAACTCCAGTTTCATCAACTATCAAATAAGGAAATCAATTCTTATACAAATCAGAAGTATCTAGCCTTTTGTGGCTCTTTAATATGTATTTATTCTTCACATGCATTTCCCAATTAATGAGCCTTTGCTCTCTTTATTACTTTGATCTGCCTTCCCATATGAGGTAAATTGAATTTATTAAAGGGCTTGTACAAGAAGATGACTTGTCACACTCAAGGATTTCAGTCTGCAGTTTCCAGTTAGTGGAATATATCTCTTAACTTCATGAAATCCATTATTTATAGGGCTTAAATTTAAATTTTATTTTATATTCTTTCTGTTACAGTACCGTCCAAAGTTTTTGAAAATCTAGAAATGGGACAATAATTCATACTAGGATTAGTAAAAGTTAATTTTTCTACTACCCTAAATATAATTTTTCACCTAAAAACTCCCTTTCCTGATCCCCCACTCTCAGGGAAAGAGGGAATAGGGTGAGGAATACCAGCATACAAGCCTGAAAGCTTGATTTTATTTTTTAATTTGTTGATCTCTTAGTTTTTTGCTCTCAGAGTACTAAGAGTATCCTTAGTTGCCTTACTGATACTTGTATTTCAAGTTAAAAGAAATTAGGACAATCAATAATCCTAAAGTGTTACTAATTGTCAGTGATGATACACAGTGGTGAGGTACAGAAAGCATGCAATGAAATTCTGATTGTCTTTGATTTCGTAAGGATAATAGTCATTTATGAAAGCAATTTCATAAAGCCTCTTTAAAGAATTTTGTTATAAAACAAATACAATTTACTATCTATAAAAATATGGACATTCTCCTCAACATCATTTATTTATTGGTCTATTTCTTTCTTTAGAAAGTCATCAGAGTAGAAACTTGAAATGTGCTTCCTGGAAGGAATTTTTTAATTTTATGAAGTGGTCCATTCCAGCCTTTCTTTATTTCCTGGATAATTTGATTGTCTTCTATGTCCTTTCCTATCTTCAACCTGTAAGTAAACACGATAAAGAAAATAGCATTGGGAAAACACAGAAAAATGTATTTCAGGGTTAATTTTTTAAAATCATTTTCCATGGCATTATTAGTTTCTCATTGCCCTCCCTAGCATTCCAGAGGTTTGAACAGAATCATCTGAATATTTGACTTACCAATCTGCTTGCCAGATTCTATCACTTGTTAAAGTTTGCTGTATTAAACTGTGATGACTAGTCCATAGTTGCTCTCTGGCCAGTGAATATAGATCCATCTCTCTTTGTGTAACCTTAACCAATCTGCCTGTTTTCTGAGCCATCCTCTAAAATTAATCTCAGCATCCAGGTCCTCCACAGAGATTCACTTAGAAAAGTATACATTTAGTACTCTGCTCTTTCTTACACCTGCATTAATGTAGTTTATACTAGAGGCCCAGTGCATGAATTGGTGCACTGGGAGGGAGGAGGGACCATGGGCGTTTGGCCAGCAGGCCCCCATCTAGATGTGTAAATGTGTTGAGGTAGCGGAAGCAAAGGTCACAGACAGAGCGCCCCAAAACAGCCTGAACACCAGCTATGCTCTGAAATGGAATTACAGCTCTATTATACTTTGTTGCCCACTCTCAGACAGCCTCACTCTCCCTGAGGTGGAGTTGCTGACAGACAGACACGTCATCTGTCCTACCTCAGCCGCATCTTTTCTCGAGGCTTCGCCCCCAAGCTTGATAGGTAGCTGACTTCAGCCAATGGTGACATACTGTCATAGGAGTGCTAGCCAATCGGCATCTGGAAGCTTGAAAAGTCACAGGGCAGAGCTATCATAGAAGTGGCTGACAAGGCAGAAGGGTGAGCACCCACACATGCGGTGGCAGAGGTAAGATGGCAGTGGTGCAATACTTTATGTCTTTGCAGTTAGGTTGCTCCCTTGCCCCTCCTGCCCCCTCCAAGCTACTACTCTGTCACTATCAGCATCAGGGTCACTCTCCTCCTACCAGGCTTTCTGGACTCAGATTCTCTGGTGCCCGGAGCCTTAGCCACAGGGAGGAACCCGCCAGGGGAGGGTCCGTGGAAGGTTGGCTGCGGGAGTGAACTGACCACCAGGGGGCAGCTCCCGTGTTGAGCGTTTATCCCCTGGTGGTCAGTGCGCATCATAGCGACTGTCCATTCAGTCATAATGGTCACATTGGCTTTTATATATATAGATATACTTTAGGTATGATTTTATTTTTGTTAGTCCTCTCTTTTAACCAACAAGTACTTTAAGGGTAGAGATTGTATCCTTTTGACTCTTAAACACTATAACTGATAATATTAAGAAATATTTCTTATCACTATCAGCATTCTCCCGGCCAATTTAGAGAACCATTAATAATCAAACTTAAAATTTGGTCTCCTGCTCTTCCCTATTACTCAGTTTAGGTCATGTGTCTGTGTTCTCCTAATGTTTTATAAAATTAAGATTTCTGTTTTCATTGTTGCCAAAATGTATTACAAGTTGTAAAGAATAAGTTCGGGGATTTCTATCATAAATAGTATTTTTATTGGTTCTAGTCTTCTATGTGAAGTCTCTTAAATATAGCCAAATTAGTTTATGAGTGGGATGAAAAATAGGGATCAATAGAACACAGTGGTAGAAAACAGGAGTTTGATGCTTTTGCACAATTTAGAAGCTATGTAACTAGGCAAGCCCCAACTGCTCTAAGAGTCAGTTGCCCATCTGTAAAAGAGAATACTGTTATCACACCACCTGTGCTGAGTAATCACCTGAAGTTCTTTTCAGCTCTGTGATCCATGTTGTTATTATTACTAAGTGTCTATTTCATCAAAACTGTGTCCTCTCCTGAATTCTTGCTTCCACTTTCTCAGATCTGAGAATTCCTTGTACCCAAAGACATAATTATTCACATTCAAGAAGTATATATTTGTTGTATTTTATTTGTCTCCAATAGATTAGGTTCTTAAATTCATATCCATTCTCTGCATCCCTAGTACCAAAGTAAGATTATAATTTCCTGTTTTTTTCTTCCAAGTTACATCTTTGCTCTTCCTTCCTGATTGTGTAAAACCACAAATATTACAAAATAAATCACATGGCATATTCTGTGCATTGCTGTGCCCAAGTCTAATTGGGAAGAATTAAATAGAGATGAATGGAAGTTTGGGAGCAAAGAGTTCTTGAGATTTGTTTATTCTGTGCTATTGCAAAGGAAGAGTTTCAGAATTCATCAGGCCAGCCAGGATGCTTGGTTAGTGCATTTGCACTGCTGTTATTGTGACTGATCAGAGCCACCACTTCCCCACTCTTACCAGCCAGTTTCTTCATCTCTTAAGTAGGGGTTCACAACCATTTGTCTATAGAGAAGGACACCGAGAAAACAAAATAGTCCCATAAAAATTCAATAGAACAACAATGTTATGTTCTTGGAATTTTTGTTAATTGTTATTGGATTTACTCTTATTTCTTTAATTCAGCTTCATATTAGCTGGTTATAAAAGATTATTGATACTCTGGAGTTTAATCATTTTAAAGTGACAGCAAGGAGGAAGTCAAGGTGAACTAAATCAGTAGGATTTGTTTTTTAAAATTATTAATATTGTTAGATCCAATTATAAGGGACAGTGATGAAATTTCATACTTTCTTGGCCAAAATGTATACATGTTCAGATTAATAGTCTCATGAGAAATGTGGTTGAATTTACAAAAAGAGACCTTTATGAAATTTGGCTAACACATTTTTAAATTTTTAAAACAATGTGAATAAATCCAAAGGACCGTTAGATATGAGTTTGGTAGTAAATCATTGGTATTGGGTCATTGTAGTTCAACCAGGAAAATGGATTCAGTTCCTACAACAGGTATGATGCTTAAAAATCTGAATCCCAATTATCTTAATGTGTAAATGGGCCTAACAGATTCTGTCTTTTCTCTATCCATAGAAACAGTATTAAAAGTCTATAAAGCACTCTGAGAACTTTAAAAAGTATGCTTTAGAAGCATGGTAACTGTTATTTCAGACCCAAACCTTTAGATTTTATAAGTATTTCTAAATCTGCACATACAGATTATTTACACAGGCATTTTCTGAATTTCAACACATTTGAAAGCCTGTACAATAATTTGATCATATCTGCATAAATTTAACAAGCAATAAAAATGGAATTTAATCCTGTAGTGAAATAGCTGCCCTAATAACCCCTCTAGTTTTTGACCAAAAAGCTTTTCTTGTCAGGTGAGCCACCGAGTTGGGAGATTTCTGAGGTTAGTGCTTATTTGGATTGTAACTCTATATCTCTTCTTTCTTTCTAGGCCATGGCTGTTATCTTCTCGAATTTTAGCATTATAACAACGGCTCTTCTATTCAGGATAGTATTGAAGTAGGTAACTTGTTGTGAAAGCATATGTGGTATTTTAAAACGGCACCGCCTTGTTTCAGGTGATACACCCAGAGCACTGAACCCTCTGGTTCCCAAGGCCAGGATTTTATTCTTAACTAGAGGCCTGGTGCATGAATTCGTGCACAGGTGGGGTACCTCATGGTGGCCTGTGGGGATCGGGCCCCAACTCACATCCCAGGCTTGCAGCCCCACCTGGCACCCAGTCATGGCCTGGCACTATCCCCTCACCTGTTCCACCATCCTGCCTACAGGGCAATCAATAGGGCCACCTCCCCCACTTCCCCACTGTTGGTCACCCTCTGTGGGGCAATCAGCCCCCACTCGCACCCGCCTTGGCCTGGTGCCATCTGCTCACCTCCTCCTCCATCCCACTGTGGTCCTGCTCTCATCAGGGCTGGCAGCACCTCCACTGCCGCCCACTACCAGCGCTGCATTGCTAACACCCGCCATGTTCTGCACCACCCCCTGGTGGTCAGCACACATCAGCAAGTGGTCCCACTCCTGGTCGAACAATTTGCATAGTAGGCTTTTATTATATAGGATTGGCTTTTATTATATAGTGTTGGCAAGTTGCTTAACCTACCTAGAAAACAACTCCACTGCTAGCCTGTCTGAATCCTCTGTGGTTCCATGTTTCAAATGTTTTTTTCCTAGCATCTCAAAAAAAAAAAAGAAAGAAAGAAAGATAATTGATGAAGTTATGAGTATTTTAATTTTAAGTGCCAGAGTTTCAACAAATAATTCCCAAGATGTTTCATGGAGGAAGATGCATGATAGGATTGGCTCAGTGGAAAGATAAAAACTTTACCATATGGTCTGAGTCATTGGATTAATGCTGTGTTGAGCACACGAATTGGAAAGGAAAGAAGATGCAATCTAATGAAAGAAACAAGGATTTCAAGGCATTTATTACTCCTCATTACAAGGAAGGAGTTGTGATACCTTACAATAAACACATACATACCATACACAGGGCAATTGCAGGAAAAAAGAAAGATCACAAGGAATGTAGAGAAGGAAAAGTAATTCAGAGGACCAGTCTTTGTTACAGGCTTTGAAACAAAGGTGGTAGTTATTCCAACTTTAGTTTGTTCAGATTTCCAGAAGGCTCGTGGTGGTCAACTGCCATCATGTTAGCGGAAACTTAAATTAACTGGTTTGTCCTCATCTAAATTTTAAGAGACAAATCAATAGGGCCTGGGAGTAAAAAATCAGATCTCATTGCAATGAATTTTTATGTAAAGCAAAATTTTTTCAACTGCTGGTTTATATCCAACAATATTATTAAGTATAACATAATTATAACTCTATACATATATAATATTTTGGTACCATCAAAAGAGTTTAAAAAGGAACATTGGTCAAATTCTGTTACAACTCCTTTCAATTCTTTGGAATGCTTTGTGATAGAATCTGATCCGTATCTGTGGCCCAAGAACTTGAGCAAGCTCACATAGTGTGTTCTTCACTAATTAATTCAATGGAGGGACATTTGATTTCTCCCTGATCAGACAGTAAAATCACCCATGATATGTCTATTGTCTGTGGACACTGGCAGTCCTTTGACATTAGTTTAAAAGAAGCCTCCAGCATAACTCAGGGTTTTATTTTTGAACTTAAAAATGTGCTTTTGGAATTGGGCTAAGAAGTGATTTTGAAGCAGATATTTGAGTAAGGAAAAAGCAGAGGATGGTTGAGTTAATTTTATTTTTCCAAATGATGTTCAGGCCATGTCCTCTCGCAGCCTTGACTGAAGTCAGAGGATTGTTAGAACTACTGGCAGCCACTTCCGGAGCAAGAGACAAAAATGGTCTTTGCCTTTGACACAAAGCTCTGTATCATTGCAAAGTTGCTGTTGTTCAAATGACTTTATATTCCTGGACCCACCTTTCCCATCTGTGTCATTTTCTGTTACATTTTCACACCTCATTAAACTGTGGAACTGTTGCGATCAGAGGAAGTAGCTGGACCCCTAAGATTATCTCACTAAGACTACTGAGTGTTCATTTTTTGTCTTTTTGAAACAACTCAAGAGAAAGGAAATTGGAGCAGAGATGAATTCTTTGAAAATAGCTCTTTGCTGACTCACCAAAGTTGTGTAAAAATGACTCCTGCGATCTAGTCTGTTACCTGTCTACATGCAGGATGCACTGTTCTTTTTCTGTGAACCTTTTCCTTCCAGAGACAATTTATAAATGTAACCATAAGGCTCAAGTTTAGAAATCTAACAGCTTTGCCCTTTTGAGTATATAGTCATGAAATATTAACAGCTGGATTCTGTAAGCATCACCTCTTAGATCACATCCTCATTTTATTGAAAAAATATGCTCGGGATATAAAGTGACACCCAAATCACACAGCTCAAACTTGTGTTTCAACTTGTTATTTTCTAGCTGCTTCATTTATCTTTATAACTCTGGAGAGAGCAAGTGCCTTTAGCATACCTGCTGGAGAGCCTGAATTCTTGTGCACAATCCTAAGGGACGGCAATCCTAAGGGACGGTGCCTGTACCCTTCCTGGGTTTTGTCCATGTGGAAGTGTTGTTATAAACAAGAGTTAGCTATTAAGTCATATAATTGACATATAACATTAGTTTCAGGTGTACAACATAAAGATTATCTATACCAGTGGTTGGCAAACTGCAGCTTGAGAGCCACATGTGTCTCTTTGACCCCTTGAGTGTGGCTCTTCCACAAAATACCATGTGTAGGTGCACAAGTACAGTGCAATTGAAACTTCATGGTCCATGGTACAGAAGGCGGTTTTTGGCTCTCAAAAGAAATTTCAATCGTTGTACTGTTGATATTTGGCTCTGTTGACTAATAAGTTTGCCGACCATTGATCTATACTAATAAAAGGCTAATATGCAAATTGGTCAAGATGCCTTCACAGTAATGACCGAACAGCAGGCTGCGTGGGGCATCTATACTAATAAAAGTTAATATGAAAATTGGTCAGGACGCCCTCACATTAACAACCCAACAGCAGGCCATGATCGTTACTGATTGGTCAGTGTTAGGACAGGGAAAAAAGAAGAAAAAAACCCCCCAGAATATAAGGCTACACTGGTAGGAAAAAATAAGTCTGGTGACTAATGCAAGAATTATTTGAAAAAATTCAAAAGTGGAAAAAGGAAAAATATTGCTATCCAAATGTCTTACTGTCTTTTCTAAGAAAAACCCCATTTAATAGATAGATTTGTTCTTTGGAGTATAGGAAACATTGGTTCAAAGTGGAAACTGGCGGCAGGCTCAAAGCCTTACTGATTTGCTCTTAAAGATTGGCCAAGTTGTATAAACTTGTTTGTTTAGGTTTTAGTAAATCATTTCCACATGAACATTGAAATTTGGGGGAGGGAGGGCAAAAGATAACTAAGACAGGCACTTATGTTCACCTAAAGAAGGTATATGAGTCTCTAATTTATTTAAAGAGAAGCTATGGGAAAAAATATTTAAAAACACATCTTGAAATATGATGAATGTCTTAGAAGTCATGGGAAAGTTTACTCTCTGAACCAGCAGAGAAATAAAAATACAGCTCAGTAGACAAGCCTTTCTCTAAAATCGTTCACTTGATAAATCTTTTTATAATTTCTCATTATAAATCTGCCCCTGGTTGCTACTAAGAGACATGTTATATATAGCTTTTGTAAAAACAATTATGTAAATCTTTCTACTTAATTATTTTCATGCTCTGCCTTGGTTTACTACCACCAAATATGATAGTAAATGCCCTGACATAATTTTGATTTAATTGTTGACTTTCCCCTCAGTTAGTTGAGGGGTAACTCAAAGTAAGGAATTATTTTTAAAAAAATACATGCTTTAAACAATTTAACTTAAGATATGTAATGTTCATTCTTTTGGTTGAAAGCTATGGTCTTTCCTTTGAGTATGTGTAGGGTTTGTAATTGGCGTTCTTTGGCTCTTTCTTGGTTGAACCTATATTTGTTATTTCTGATTTTAGTTTGTTTAAAGTTGAGCATTTTCTTAAAAGTACTTTTAAAGTAGATTCTTCTAGATTTTTATTATTTATTACCTAATTACAAAATAAACTCAGCTATACCTAAACCACAGATCGTTTTCTTACCTTGCGATTTCCCTTTAATTTTCTTAAAGCATTCAACTTAGTTTTCATAAAGACAGCAGTTCTTTTCTTTACTCATAATTTATCATTTATGTAACCATTAAAATATCTCATTACAATAATGAGGTCACCTGGCAAAAAATGCGTTTAGAAACAGAGATTGTGAGCGAACAGTTCACTGGGAACAGAGGCCCTCAACTAGAGCATCCCTCTGGCTGCAAGTGTTCAGCTGAGCATCAATCTGGATGTTTTACTGGGGCAGTGGAGAGATGAGTTGAGTTTCTACTAAAGTGCATCTACTAAATTGAGGAGCAAACTTTTCATAAACAATCAGTCATCGCTTGTACTAGTAAGAGCACAACTTCTCAGCTGACTTTACAGGGTAAGTTATTGTTATTTTATTTGCAGAAAACCTATTTTCAGCCTAATCCTTAATCATTTTCATCTTCCCATGAAGGTTACCTTGAATGAGTAATTATTTGCAGTAAGTACTATTTAGCTTGTTTGTGGTTTTGCTTCCTTATATTCTTTTTTCTCAAGGTCAGTTTTAGTGCAAAATCTATAGCTATCAGAATTGAAAACTAATAAAGGAACTATAGATCATTGCCTCATTTTTCTTTTCTTTTTTAACTTTATTTTTATTGTTGACACTTTACAGATATCCTTGTTTTTCCACTCTACCCAGCCCCAACACCCCTTCCCTCTGGCACCCACCACTCTGTTGTTTGTGTCTATGGCTATGCATTTATGTCCTTTGACTTCTTAGTTTCTTTCATCAGCTTTGTTATACATCATCTGTTTTAATATACAGTTTGGTAATAATATTTTTTTATTAAATTGAGCACCTATTTTTTATCCTGTGTTTTCCTTTTCTATTTGATTTACTTTCTACAGCTTAATGCATACCAGCTGCATCTTCAGAAATATGTGTGGCTAGTTCAATTTCTGGCCTCATGGCATAGAGCTATATTAGCCTCATCATTAAGTGCTTGGTCTGGTTATTTGAGAGTATATACACAAGAAGACATGATCGTGTGCACAGATTTGCTGCTAGCTAGTCTAATCTGTGTACTTAGCAATTTTATAGCATGAAGCTCTATGAAAACATTGGTGAAATCAAGCACATCTTCATACATACACACTTCGAATAATTATAAAGGGAGTGTTTATTAAAATACATTTCATTTTCAAAATGCAATATCTAAGGACACTGTGTGTATACATATCGATACATATAGAGATAGATAGACACCAGAGGCCCAGTGCATGAAATTTGTGCACTGGGATGGAGGATCCTCAGCCTGGCCTGTGCCCTCTTGCCGTCCAGGAGCCCTTAGGGGATATTTGACTGATGGCTTAGGCTCGCTCCCTTGGCAAGTGGGCCTAAACCAGCAATCAGACATCCTGAGCGCTGCCACAGAGATGGGAGAGGCTGCCGCCACTGCTGCTTTGCTCACCAGCCACGAGCCCAGCTTGTGGCTGAGTGGTGCTCCTGCTGTGGAGCGCACTGACCACCAGAGGGCAGATCCTGCATTGGGCTGAAACTGGCTCTCCAACATCCCCTGCGGGGTCCTGGATTCAAGAGGGCACAGGCAAGGCCAAGGGACCCCACCAGTGCATGATTGGGTCTGAGGAGGGACCGTGGGAGAGCTCCAGGGTGTGTCTGGTCCGTCTCACTCAGTCTCGATTGGCCAGACCCCAGCAGCAAGCTAACCTACTGGTCAATTGTCTTCCCCTTGGTGGTCAATGCACGTCATAGCAAGCAGTTGAGCCGCCTTAGCGTATCATTAGCATATTACACTTTGGTTGAATGGATAATTGGATGACTGGACACCTAGCATATTAGGCTTTTATTATATAGGATTGATATAGATACAGATATAGATATAGATACAGATATAGATATAGATATAGATATCTTGAGCACTCTGAGATACATTGGTCCAGAAGGAAGACATACAAACCATGGCTCAGATCTCCTCCTTTCCCTTTCATAAATGTATGACCTTAAGGAAGTTGAAATCAGTTAACTTCTCAGAATATTCATTGTTTCTTCCTGTAAGGACATTGCTTAACCCATGGTCGGTGCTCAATGATGCTCCAAAATTCTTATAACTTCTAGTTCCTACCTGTTACTTTACACTTCTGCCTTTGCTTTTGTTATTCTCTTGTTTCCCCACTCTGGTTTCCCTCTAATTCATCTAACTAATCCTAATCCATCTTCAAACTTGAAGATGTTCTTCCCCCCAGAGGCCAACCTGAATCAGTTACTCCTTTTTATTCAACATTGTACATTTTTGTTGCCTTTGCATAGACTTATCCCTCTGCCTGGATATACGCCAACTCCTTTCTCACATGGCAAATTTAGTTATTTTTTCATCTTTCCACTCAAGTGTCATTTTTCTTTAAAGCAATAGCTGACTGATTCTGTTATAGACTCAAATGTTCCTTCCTCAATGTACCCCTGGTGTTGTGTGTATCACTAGTCACACATTATATTGTCATCGTTTGGTTTCATGGCTCTTTACCTTTTAAAAGTATAAATTACTCAAGGGTGGACATCAAGTTTTTATCTTCCCAGGGTGCCTGCCAGATAGGTGCTTACTAAATGTCTTTTAAACTAAATCCATAAAACAATAACATTGTATGCCTTTAATATATCACAAGTTTGTTGTTAGGCAAAGTAATGCATTGTTAAGACTTTGTAAAATTAAATACTAAAAATACATTTTCCTTGCCTTACCAGGCAGTGGTTTGCTATAAAATGCTTTATGATTAAGTCATGGATCTGGGAGCCAGCTTCCTTACATCTTTTTTGGATCGTGGATACCTTTGAAATTTGACAGAATTTGAAGGGTCTTCTAGAGCTGGGGGGAGGCTGAGAATTCACCTAGATAGAGCATTTGCAACATTGCAGAGACGCACATATCTAAATTTTATCACATTCTGGTTCATGAAAACTAGGTTGAGACTCTCTTCTACAGTATATTATATACTAAGTTATAATAAAAAGTTATTGTTCTAAAGATTCAAGATAGGTGTGGAGGTAAAAAAGAGGCTTAGTTAAACCTCTAGGCTCAAAAGAAACTTAAAATGAAGCAGAATAATTGAAGAGTCTTAAGGGATGTTTATTATGAAAGTGAATTAAAATAATCAATTTTAAGAAGCAGAGACATTAACTTGAATTGTGGAAAATTTTGACAAAAACTGAGTACAGTTTATTCAACCAAGTACTTAAGTGTCTGAGTTTACAGCAGAAACAGTTGATATGGTAGGGGGCAAAAACCCTGTAGTAAAATCTTATTTTTCCTCTTTGAACAGGAGACATCTAAACTGGATACAGTGGGCTTCCCTCCTCATTCTATTTTTGTGTATTGTGGCCCTCACTGCTGGGACCAAAACATCGCAGCATAACCTAGCAGGACATGGATTTCACCACGACGCCTTTTTCAGCCCATCCAATTCCTGCCTTGTTTTCAGAAGTGAGTGTCTCAGAAAAGAAAATTGCACAGCGAAAGAGTGGACTTTTTCTGACTCTAAGTGGAATGCCACAGTCAGGGTTTTCAGTCACTTTCGTCTCGGCTTAGGTCATGTCCTTATCATCGTCCAGTGTTTTACTTCTTCAATGGCCAATATCTATAGTGAAAAGATACTGAAGGAGGGGAAGCAGCTCACTGAAAACATCTTCATACAGAACAGCAAACTCTATTTCTTTGGCATTCTTTTTAATGGGCTGACCCTGGGCCTTCAGAGCAGTAACCGTGATCAGATTAAGAACTGTGGGTTTTTCTATGGCCACAATGCATTTTCAATAGCCCTTATTTTTATAACTGCATTCCAGGGCCTCTCGGTGGCTTTTATTCTGAAGTTTTTGGATAACATGTTCCATGTGTTGATGGCCCAGGTCACCACCGTCATTATCACAACAGTGTCTGTCCTGGTCTTTGACTTCAAGCCCTCTTTGGAGTTTTTCTTAGAAGCCCCATCAGCACTTCTGGCGGTATTTATTTATAATGCCAGCAAGTCCCAAGATATGGACTATCGACCTAGGCAAGAAAGATTCCGAGATCTAAGTGGCCATCTTTGGGAGCGCTCCAGTGGGGTAAGTTTGTAAAGATACTGCTTTTTGTCTGTCCTTCCGAATTCAAAGCATGATAACACAAGAATAGAAATAGGATCAGTGCTGATTTATCAAAGGATGTATCAAATCTCTTGACTTTAAAAAAATTATTGAACAAACATTTTTTGGTCTCTATGTGAGCGCAAGGGCTCATGATGATGCTGTCACAGATCTAGAAAAAATATAAATCACAACCTTATGTACTATTTGTATTAGAATATTATAGAGTCTCAGAACTGGAAGGTTCCTCACAGATTACCTTGTACAGTTTCCCTAATTTTACAAGGGAAGAAGCAAACGCAAGCTAAATGCGATACTAAGTGAAAGAACTGGTACTAAACCCATGAGGTCTGACTCCTCCTTCATTACTCTTTCCACTCCACCATTGTTGGGGGAATAAGCCTTCTTCATAAGAAAAGTTCATCATTAGTAAGTCTTACTAAATAAAAGTAGAAAACCTGGTTCCTTAATTTTCCCTGTAGTTTTTCATAAACCACCCTGTACCAGATAGGCAGACATTATTTGTCTCAGTAGGGCGGGGATTTTCAAAAGGAACCTATTAGAGAAAAAAATTTCTAGAAAAATACTTGTGCAATTATTCTGAGTAAGTATTATTTTGCCAGTTGCTTATTGTTTTAGGAGGGTCTGTCAGTCATGTTATTAGCAAATTAATAATCTTTTGGAGACTCAAGTAAGGAGTTAAATATTTGTTATAAGTAAAAGATGAAATAGACTCATCAATCTTGTTTTAAATTTACAATTTTCATGAACACTAAATATGAAATACTTATTCCTGACAAAGAATGAAAAAATTAATATCTCTTATTTGAGTTCATGGTGGTGCTTTCTTCAGTATTACCTCTGAAGTGTTGATACAACAGGTTATCCAGATGAAAAAATTAAAATCTTGGGTCCCAAATCCCCTGATATCATCCAGATATAGATTCAGAAGTCATGTGTCCTTTTCCAGTGACCTGGTAACATTGTTTGCTGTACTTTTTAGGGAAAAGAATATCAATTTAGGTTACAAGGCCTTGTTTTATCTTTCTCCAATCTTTAGTCATTTGCCTTCAAGACCAGCAGAGGGTGCTCCAATTATGCTAAGATTAACTGAAATTCAAGTACGGAGCTTTATTTCAGTTTTTCATTATCTATTAGGTCTAGTAATAATTAATGTCGTTTTCTAATACTTTTTTAAATCGAATTTATTTAAACAATACAACAAAATTTAATCAACAATATAGTTGCCGTTGTTTTCTACTACTTGTGCCCAACGCTCAGGAAGCATTTTAATCCCTCTGTTGTAAAATTCTTGTGATTTTGATGCAAAAAATTCGGTCAATGCATTTTTGAGGCATTCTTCATTATTAAATTTTTTTCCAAGAAGAAAGTTTTGCAAAGAACGAAACAAATGGTAATCGGAAGGGGCAATATCAGGAGAATATGCAGGTTGAGGGAGAACTTCCCATTCCAACTGGCGCAGTTTTTCAGCAGTGATTCTTGCAGTATGTGGTCGTGCGTTATCGTGGTGAAGAATTACGCCCTTCCGATTAATCAGTGCGGGTTCTTTTTCTCTTAAAGCTTGGGCTAACCTTTCCAATTGGGCACTATACACTGCACTTGTAATGGTTTGGTTAGATGGTAAAAGTTCATAATGAAGAATTCCTTTAAAATTCCACCAAACACACAACATCACTTTTTTCGCATGCAAGTCAGGTTTTGGCGTGGCTGCGGAGCCTCATTTTTGTCCAACCATTGAGGCCGCCTTTTCAGATTAACATACAGCATCCATTTTTCATCTCCGGTAACAATTTGCTCTAAAAACGGCAAACGGTTTTGACGAGAGAGGAGCGAACTGCAAATTGTGACTCTGATTATGGTTGTTGTCGGTCAACTCATGAGGAACCCATTTTCCAAACTTTTGGACTTTGCCAAGTGCACACAATTGATTGGAAATTGTTTTTTGTGAACAATTTAAAGTTGTCGCAAGCTCTTGTTGGGTAATTTGAGGATTTTGCACCAAAAGAGCTTGAAGAGCTTCTTGATCAAAATTGGACACACGGCCTCGACCACTCTTGTCATCTAACGAAAAATTTCCCTCGCGAAATTTCTCAAGCCAACGCTGGCATTTTCTGGCGCTAACTGCATCTTGACCAAGAGCACTACAGATGTTTTTTGCAGCCTCACTTGCTTTTCTTCCTAATTGGAACTCGTAAAGCATGCTGTGCCAAATATGCTCTTCATCCGCCATCTTCTTAGCCCTAGTTTTGCAACAAAAACCAAACCAAACACAAACTTTTTCAAGCAAAACTTGTTAATTGCACTTCAAACGTTCTGTAGATACCACGTGTTTGAAGGTTATGTCAATACAAGTCAACGCCAAGCAAGATTTTAAACGAATGTTAAAAACGACATTAATTATTACTACACCCGATATTATATATCTATAATAACTTTACAAGAATTTTAGTATTTATTTAACTTCCTTTGACCATATTATATGAAATAAAATCCGTGATTTCTGAGTGAGCTTTCTCCTTGGTAATCATTAAAAACACTACATGTCTAGTTTTGTTTTAATTAATCACTGATTTTATGGGTGTGTGGTTTTTTTTTTTAGGATGGAGAAGAATTGGAAAGACTTACCAAACCCAAGAATGCCATTGAGTCAGATGAAGATACTTTCTAATTGGTACTCAAATAGGTGGCAGGTTTCACAACCTTGTTTTCACATTTTCTGCATGTGTAATATTTATCTTTTCACTTTGATAAAACAAGAATATTTCCAAAGTATAATGCTCTTTGCATATCTCTAATTACTTCCTAAACAGTTTTTTTCCAAGTCTTAGAGTACTCAAAGGCCAGAAAGGTCTAAGGAACTGACATGAGAGTAATAGTATGGAAACTGCATTAATGGCCTAGAAATTGATAAATCAATAAGATATATTTACAGATTATTTTCCTTGTTGTCCAAGATTTCAAAACCTTGTAATAATCATAGCAGCTGTGCCCAATAAATATACAAACACAGATCAGTTTGCCAGATACTAATAATTATGTAGTCCTACTCTATTGCCAAAGTCTTCACTTTTGTTATCATTATGAACATCACCTCAGTTGTCCCTTGAATATTGAGGTCCTTGAAGCTACACATTTTGCAATTAAAAAGAAACATGACTCTTAAAATAAATTTGTTGAAAGATTGCCATCTGGCTACAACATTGATTTTAGTTTAATGTAGTCTATGCTAAATGTTTTACCAAAGAAACAGTTTTTCAGAAACAAAATCTCAGAATTTTAACTTTTAGGAACTTATAGGGAATTTGGTTTTCAGGGATTATCTTTTTATATTCTACATAAATAAGTTTCAATTTAGGTGAAAATTGATTCCTAGTCACCAGTGATCACTTGTATTTTAACTCTTAAGCCATGTGTATATGTTTTTCCTCAGATTGACCTTATTATTCTTAGATTATTATAGTTTGAAGAACTAAGAAGAAGCCATTTCATTTTATTATTAATCAGAAGTTAAGATAATTATATATCATATCCGCTTCCTCAGAGTGGAGATATTGGCCAGAATCATACTACCTGAGAGTTCCTTTGAAAAGGGCCACTTTGCAGACTAATGATTTTTGCTGAAATATGAGTGTATTACTTTAAAAAGAGGAAGGCCAATAATATAGCACTGTATAGTAATAATATTTCACATTTCAAGTGCATGTTATTTTTCAACATTTTTGCATGCAGCCAATTAACTCTGAGGTAGTGATAAAAAAAAAGAAAAAGAAACAAGGGACTTCCCCACAGTCATGCAGCCGGATGGTGATGGGATAAAAGTTAACTTTAGTTAAAAGGCCAGTGTGTTTACAGAGCCGGACTCTGAATGTGAACCTTACAGTATCATTTTCATGCGGTTGATTCATCTCTTCTTTCCCCTAATTTTTATACAGATGAATGTAGATAATACTGTTATATAAACCATCTGTGATGTGCAGAATAATATGACTGGCAAGAGTTGGTGGAAATTTATAAATAAAATAATTATTAAACCTATATCTTGCGTGCCACTCTGTCATGTGAGGTGCGATGCAGAGTACTTTCAATTTCAAAAAACGAAGTGAGGCAGAGACTCAAACAACTCTTAAAACTTTCTCTTTCAATAGATCTTGACTTCAAAAAATAGCAAAACTGTTTGCCTTATCATATGCATTCCCATCAGAGTTGTAGAACAGGAAGATTACATTATAATAACTTTAGAGGTAAGAGAACTCAGGTATAGGAAGACCTCACTTTAAGGAAATAAGTCATACAAAAACATTGTATGGAACAGATAAAATTACAATATTATTTGCAAAGGTATCCTACAGAATATATTACATAAAATATTCCACTAATTCTGGAGTTTAATTTTCTTATTTACAACTAGAGGCCCGGTGCATGAAAATTCATGCACTAGAGGGGTGTACCTCTCCCTCAGCCTGGCTTGCCCCCTCTCACAGTCCGGGAGCCCTCAGGATCAGGAAGCGAATCAGGGGAAGTTGATGGCCCATCATACCTCTGCTGCTGCCACTGCCAGCAGCACAAGCCTCACCCAGCCCTGGTTACCTGAGTCTCGGGCCGGCCCTGGGCAGCTGGGCAGTCGACATCTGAGACTTACCTTGCTGTGTGCCTGCTGCCCCAGTGGGACTAAGGGGTCTGGGCACCACCATCTTTGAGGGCAGGGCAGTCAATTAGCATCTTCCCTCTTTATTAGATAGAATTACTTTTTTTCACCTTTTTTATAAAGTGTTGACCAAAGTGTAAATGTACATAATAAGAGAGAGAGAAAGAGCTGGAGCTAAAAAATGTGAAGTTTTGATGTGGGTACTTTTCAGGAGTACTTAGTGTGCACTCCTGGTTTAAAAGGAGCATAACTGGAAGGTGAGAGTCTAGAAACTATATCCATTTCAGGCGCTCTTGGTGTCAGGTGTGTAACCTAGGGAGAACAATTGTCACATGTAGAAAATAGATTTCTTTTCTATCCTAAAGAACCAAACTACAGTGAAAGTTATAGGGTGATGGTTCTTTCCTTATATGGAAGACTATTCCTGACAAATGATACTTTTCAATAGAAAAAGCCTTCCTGAAGAATAGAGAGTAATAAATTCTCTATCACTGAATTTTTTAGGGAAAGATTGTGTCATTAAAATGTTATAGGAGACATACTTCTTGGTATAGAAGTTGGAATGATTTCTATTGTCCCTTCCTATTTTTAGATTCTTGTCTAAGTTTAAGATTTACAACTAATGTACTAAATCTGCTTCCTTCATAGTTTCTGAATAGCCTTTGGTTGGACTATAAGTGTGGCTGCAGTGACCCGGATCCAGTTCTGTCATTGGTCCTAGAACCAAGCAGTGTGCCTAATCTTGAGGGAAAACAGGATGTGACTGGAAAAGTGGCTTAGACCTAGGGTCTCAAATCCTTGGTCAGCTGCCTCCTGCTGCCATAGGTTTTCAAGCTCCATGTGCAGATGAGAGACTCGGGGCAGAGTTCCTTTCTGGATAACTCTTAAGGCAATTGCCTCTGAACCTCCAAGTAAAAGCCCATTGTTTGTGAGCTGGAGGAGGCTGTGAAGCCCCAGGGACTCCTTTGCCTCTTGCACAGGCCCAACAGGGGGAAGATGCTCAATGCAGGAGCTGCCAAGCTGTGGTAACTTGGCAGCTGTAGTTCTCGGGTGATACACCCAGAATCAGAGAGGAGGGAGCCCGATTCCGGGGTGTGTTAGTTGAGAACCACTCTCTTGCAATCCAGGACCCCTCCAGGGATGTTGGAGAGCCGATTTTAGCCCAATCCTCATAGGCCAGGCCAAGGGACCACACAGGTGCACTGGACTTCTAGTTTAATTATGTCCTGATTTTCCCCCATAAACTTACCATTCTAGTGTGGAGAAGAGGCAGAGAAAGTCACACTGGAAGGAAAGAGTGCTGTTTTCCTTCTCTAAAGCCTAAGCAGATTTCCTGAAATTGAGTAACATACAGGCAGTCTTTGGGGTATATTGGACTCAGCGTACGTCGTTTTGTGGTTACATTGCCATAGCCTATTTATTTATATACAAAAAAAATTCCGCCATTTCAACATATGTACATATGTGCTTTATGTTTTTTATTATTTATTTACCACAAGTAAAGGTCAGGAATTGTTACCTTTTAATTTTTTTTTTTACTGTTTCACTTCATTACTGCTGTATATGTGTTCCATGTGAGTGACATAGGTGCTTATGTAGGTGGGTTCTGACTTATGGCAAAACCATGTTATGTTGCGCCATAGGAACAGATCTCCGATGTATCCTGAGGACCTACTATATATCCCTCCTTTAAAGGAAAAAAAAATTTCTCACATATCTCAGTGTTGACCTTTTTTCTACTTTACAGTTATTTAAATTCATACATAATAAAAAAATGCAAACTTCTTATTGCTTTTATATAAAAAACAATACAAATTTAAAAATAAAATATAAGCAAAGCCCTAAAACTAGTAAATTTTGAATTCAATATGAAATTTAATGAAGTGATATTTTCCTCACAGAAAATCCTGAACAGACCTGCAGGGCTTCTGTCCTTACTTGCTATTTTGCTTGATTCCAGCCCTATCCTCCTTTTGCCAAGATAACGGAAACCTACTGACACTGCTAGTCATGCATTTAATCCTGCTGGGATTTATCAACCCATGTCCCTAACAATCATGTACGGATGTGGTGTAAGTCTAGCTGCCAAGTCCCATTGGCCTCAGTTCCCTGAAAGATTTTTAAAGCATCAGCTTTGTGTATTCCCTGAAGTTTTAAAAGAATTCACCATTCTCTATTTTCTCCTCATCCTTTGGTTTACTCTGGATTATTTATCTTTTGCTAAAAAACCATCCAGATTTTCAAATTTATTTGTATAGGAATTTATGAATCATTCTCATAATTCTTTTGATTTTCTCTTTTACTATAGTTATATTTCTCAATTTGAATTTTATGTATGGTTTCTCTGTTGTTTTTTTAATAGGTTATTTAGCATTTTCTAATTATCTGAAGTATGTTTTCTTTTTTTTAATATATTTTATTGATTTTCTACAGATAGAAGGGAGAGGGATAGAGAGCTAGAAACATCAATGAGAGAGGAACATCGACCAGCTGCCTCCTGCACACCCCCCACCGGGGATGTGCCCACAACCAATGTACATGCCCTTGCCCAGAATCAAACCTGGGACCCTTCGGTCCACAGACTGACACTCTATCCACTGAGCCAAACCGGTTTCGGCATGTTTTCTTTTTCCATTTTATCTACCTGAAATACATTTATTTTCTTTCTTATTAAAGAACATGTTTATAACAGAAAATTTCTTTGAAGTAAGTACACCTTATACCAATCCTCAAAGACTTTAAAATATAGCATCATTATTTTCTATTCTGTCTTGAGTAAAGGGTAGTATGGTTGAGAATTTTAGTCATTCTTTTTAAATTTCTAGTTTTTATACACTTGGTCCTATTGTAATTTTCAGATTTTTATATCTTAAAGTTTCTTATAGTATTTGATATTTATTCCGCTTACAGTTCCATCTTCATTCATTACTACTAATTGCTTTTGCATTTTTTAAAATAAACTTAGGACCCTATTTACAAATGTATCAACATAAAAAAATTAAAATATAGTTATTGACTCCTTT